AACTTTGCCAAAGCGACACCGAGCAAAAACATTAAGCAGCCGCGGCGTCGCTAACTTTCTAAGAAAACAGTCAAAGCTGTCACTTACTTTGCTTGTGCCTCGTCCAGACTTTGGTCGGTGATGGTCATTATTTGCTGCAGGATGTCACCAATATCCCTGCGGGTCTCATGTCCGTTTTCAGTGCCCTCGAGGCCCGACTCGCCCCCGTCCGACCGGTGCTGGGAGGGTTGGTGAACCGAGTTGAGCGCATGCATCCCGGGGTGGCCGCTCACTCCGAGTCCCCGGCCGTTGGATGGCCCATTGCCAGTGAGAGGCTGCTGTTGCAACATCTTTGGCGACGCGCAGTGGCGACGACTGCTGCCCGACTGCGTTCGCACAGGCGCGCGCCGAACACAGCACTACCGAGGCATCACGGAGCAAAGCCCCCTAGCGGCTGGCAGCTAGAGGTGCAAGGCAGAGGATTGTATGGGGCCCAAAGGGTGCCAGGTGGAATAAATACATGAAGAGGAAACATTTTTATTTAGTTTAGGGAAAATATTTGTTTTAACAATAAACAAGATTATTTTATGAGTGCAATAAAAGAAAACATAAATGACACAATACTGAGGAAAGACCCCACCAGAAAAAAAATAATAAAGGAAATTAAAATGACTTAGTTTCCAAAATGATTGAAAATACATCAAAATCTGTTTCTGTTATAGATTTCCTTAGTTTTATAAAACTAGACCTTTGGAAAATACCAATTACATGTCAATTCATATTGACATGTAATTGCTGTAAAATTTGAATTTGATAAAATTGATTATAATCTGTTTTTTTCCATTGTAACTATAAATTCCAATGAAATTTTTCATCTTCATTCAAACCATCCCTAAAGCCGGGCAAACACTATACGATTTTTTGCCCTATTCAGGGCGATTCTCTAGTCATGCGAGAATATTTCGATCGGGCCGAGTTTCAGCTTCCTCGTGCGACCTGCGTCGTGCAGTATACGTATGCAGTACACGTATGCCCAGCTTTAAAGGTCCCATATTATGCAGAATTCACTTTATAAACATTTTCTGTCATATTTGTCCTGAGGCCTGTGTATAAGGTTCACAAATGAAAAAATTAAAAACCCTTCCTCCTCTATCAATGCCTTTTTCCACCTCTTAGCTAACCTGTGCTCAAAATGGTCTGTTTGAAAAAATCATTCCCCTTATGATGTCATAAGGGGAAAGTGCAGCCTGTAGCAGCCCATTGTTAAAGCTAAGATATTATTTAGTGCTTCTGGGCTATTTTTTTGTGAACATTGAATCTGGTTGTCACGGCTACTGTTTTTGGGGGCGCGACCCTTAGGAGGGGCATGGAAAGCCAAAACATGTCATTTATAAAAGGCCCGAATTAGGAGATATTTGGTAAAGCCTGTCTGCCTTATCTGAGAGGAATTTTCCCGCAAATGAATAAAACATGTTCTGGGGGCCTCCTTTTTAAAGTTTTTTATTTTATTTTCAAATGTATATGAGGCGGTGAGAAGTTTTTGGCCATACCTGGGTAGCCTTATGGGTCTAAGGTTATTGCTCAGGGAGCCAGCATGGTATTCTATGTTTCAAATTGAAAAGGTAGACTGTTGGAAACTAGTAACAAATCCTCTCTAACCACTCACTAGGCGGCAACCCTCATACTTGTGTGACACAGTTGTGATTAATTGTGTACATTTTCTAATTTACACAGGATCAGAACTTTACATCCACACACTATTACAGCATATATTTGTCCAACTCTTAAAGGACACAGCTGTGAATTGTTCAGGATACTGACACCTGCTGGTCATTTAAAGACACTACAGGCAGCTTATTGGACAGACTAAACTGAATTGATTCGATGACCTAGTACAATAATATCATTAAAGTTATTGTAGGTTACATTGTATCGTTTCACATCTATGTTTAAATTGAAAATATTTTTGATATTTTTAGATGCAGTGACTAAATAATGTAAACGTATATCATAAAAGGAAAAATTTAGGGGAAAATGTGAATGAGGATCCTTGTGGAGTAGGATTTTAAATAATATTCTTAAAACCATAAGTACAGTAAAAACAGTAAATAAACTAAGAGTCTATTTGAAATTTAGATCAATTCAGACAAGTTGAATGATAAGCAACTTTTACAGTTGCTTTTTGTATCTCTGCTTCTGTCTCCTTGAACCCCAGTCGGCCTCAGCAGATGGCCGCTCACACTGAGCCTGGTTCTGCTGGAGGTTTTCTTCCTGTTAAAAGGAAGTTTTCCGGCGATCGTCGTACTGCTCCACTTGTCAAAGCAAAATCTTTCGGGCTCTCTTTTTTGGCATCAAGACAAGTATTCTTATTGCCACATCGCCAGACAGGACACTGTTAGAAAAAAATAAATAAATAAAAGGGAGTTTTTCCTCTCCACTGTCACTACAAGCATGCTTAGTGTGAGGGATTGCTGAACAGTCAATGAGTCGATGCAATCAACTGGTTTTCCTTAGATAGAAAACTTTCAATCAATCTGACTGGATGATCTTGTGAACTGTAAATTAAAATGAAAACGCAACCTTTAAGGCTGCTCCAAAATTCTTGATAATTCTAATGACAAACCACAAAAGATGAGTCTTTTTTTTTTTTTTGCTGATGCATCATGTTGACAGATACGTTTTCAAACAAAGCTTAGTGAGTCAGTCAGTTAGAAACAACTCCTGTATCAGTCACATGAATTTCCTGAAATGACACGTGCACCGATACAGTGTTTTGATCTATGGGCTCCACGCATGCGCCGATGCATCGGTGTTGCTGGACCCATCACTACTTCTACTTATAATACCAACCTTGACATGAAAGTATTCTGCACCAATAGGAAAGTTAGGTTAAGGTCACATGAGACAGATTTCAGGAGTTGCCAGATCCTTGAAGCTTGTGATAGAGCTGAGAAATGGCTTCTTTTTGGAGATAAATTTCAGAGAATGAAGGAAAAAAAACAAAAAAGATGGAGAAGATGGAAAAGAAGGTGACATTTTTGCTGCCAATTTAAAGAAATGAAGGGGCTCAAAAGCCACATGGACATTGCTTCTTCTGAACAGTAAGTTAAATGTTGGCTAATGATAGTGATGGTGAGATGAAGCTTCATGACGCAATGAACCGTTTGGCCAAATTGCTTCAACGATCCCCACAGTTCATGAAGCGTCATGTAAACATGTCACCACCTACTGGTGGAGTGCAGAACTACAGTTAGTAATAATTGTAACTTTTTTTGCAGTTGTCTATTAAATTGTTAATGATTGATGTGTATAAGACAATCTTTTGTAAGTTTTTTTGTGTAAAATGTCTGAGAAGAAAACAATCATTTGAGGTACACAGTTTTTCTGCCATTTTGCTGAAATAAGCTCAAGCAGACATTGAAAGTGCTTGTACAAATTGGGTGATGATGGGAAAATGAAAGGTGTTTTTATTCAAACAAAATAGTTTTTCCACGGTTTTTTGTTTTAATTGGGTTGGAAATTGTGTTCAAACAATCTTTTGGTTGAACCAACCCATCTAATTTAGCAGTGTTTTTACCCACTTTATATTTTTACTAGTGCAAACCAATAAAAATTAGTCTCATTAGCCAAAATACTTAGGTATAATCGCAACTTTCAAAAGTTTAAAGTAGGTCTCAAACCATGTACCTCAGGATTTAAAGTCAGTTTTTTATAGCTGACGCCAACAACACTAATTACTACTCAACAGACAGCAATAGTACTTAACACTAAAGTTACAACTATGTCCAGCGGCTTGCTCAGATTTTGATCATTACATTGTTTAATCTCACCAAAATAGTTTTGGTTGTTTTTACCATCAATCTATTCTTAGAATCTATCCAAACTCTATCAACTGATAGCAGCTCTCCTACAAACTCCCACATGTTGACTGAATACTGAGGCTGTTTAAATGCCTGTCGGAGTTATTGCGTTTCTGAACCACTTCCTGAAGCGATCGCGTGGTATCCCCGTAGCGCGGATTCGGATGTCATCAATTTTGGCCCCTCCCCTAAATGAATCACACCTTGCTCCCTCCCCCCATCTCATAACATCATTAGCTAATGCTAACCAAATGTTATCTTAAATAAGTTTTAAAAAAACTGTGCTCCCTTTAACCATGATAAATATAGTAATGCAGTTTGAAATGGTCAGATTGGGGGCTGGTCCGGGAATTCCGGCGGACGGGGGGAGGGAGCCAGCGGGGGACGGAATGACCAACTCGAAGCATTCCGTCACCGGGTCGGGTTTGGTCGCTCCGTCCCCAGCTAAGCCCCAGAGCTTATTCATGAATGAACTTTCCTTTTTCCTTAGTATCTAAAAATTCTTCAAGTTGGATGGCTAAAAAAAAACAAAAAAAAAACAACATAAAAACCATGAGTAATATTAGAATGGATTTATTAAAGATAAATATCTGAAAGTATATATTTAAAATCCAGGAATCAGCTTGGGTCCTAATTAGAACTGTTTTGGGGGAATTTTGCTGTGAGCTCTCATTGAGTTCATTGACCTCTGTTGTTATTTTGCTTCCTGGCACTTAGAGAGCTCCATACGGCACAGCCTAGCATGTGACAGATGTGCCACTAGTGCAGCATTTTATCTCCACTGGTGGAGAAAATCATCTGGGTCAAACGAGACCACAGCAGCAAGTTTCATAAAGCAGAAGTGTTGGTGTCAGTATAGCTGAGTAGAAGAATGACTAAGAAAGTTAAAAAAAAAAAAAAAAAAAAAAAAAAAAAACAGAACCAGACGCAGTAACATGGAAACCACACGGTTTCTTGTTAAACAAAAGATCAAACCCAGTAAACAAATGAAGCCTAATTTGCCCTTTGTGAAACAATAACCTCTCTTTGACAGCTCCTTTTTCTACTTCTCATTTTTAGCTTCAAGTCAACAGGATGTGCGCCAAAACCACAACAGTGAAATGCAGAGGAGTTGAGCGCGTTTCAACTTGTTGCTCTGGGGCCTGACATATTCAAATGCACAGCAGTTTGAGCAGAGAGCTGCCCACAGCTGCTCAGCATGCTCACCGTTTAAGATCAGATTGTAGACACCTCCACCTCAGAGCACATCTGGACTAAAACATGTGCAAGACAGGACTAATTTAATTCATTTTTCTTTTTTTTTTGACAGACTTTTATCATGACCATCAGACAAAGCAAATGTGGGGCATGTAAATAGGGGTGGGTTGTGACGAGAGGAACAGGAAGAATAGAGCTGAGAGGCAGAAGGTTGCAATCCAGACACAGAGGGGGAGATCTTCTTACGCTGGTATGTGAAGCTCTTCACAGCAGGCTCTTTTTTTTTTTACCTACATAAAGATATTGACAAGACAAGCGACCGAAAGATGCTATACCTTATCTCTTGTTACTTCACAAGATGATACTGTGAGGAGATAAAGACATAAAAGAGAAAGGTAAGACTTAATTTAACTTAGTAGTAAAGGTAACCTTTAATTGAAAATATCAAGTAAACAACACCTTAAAAAGAAGCAGTCTTTATTTTTTTTAATGTCTAACTAGTTTAGATTAATCTTTTTTTCCAACCACGTCACACATTGTTGTGAAAATGTATTTTCTATAGTTTGTTAAGAAAAACAAGAACCTGCTGGACTGGTTTACAACATTTCTTAGCTAGAGAGAAACAAGGGAGCTGAAAAACAGTCAGTAAACACCTGTCAGTTAACACTATATGAACTCTGTGCCGACTGTAAGAACCACAAAAGAAGCTTTTTTTTGTCTGTAAGTAAGTTTGTTTTGTTTATCTCCCTGTCAGAGTTTGACAAAGACAATAATGGACTGCTCAGAGACTAAAGTTGGGTTTTCAGAAGAGGAGCTGCTGGAGCCCCTTATCATCACCGAAGATGAAGACACAACCACAGGGGAGGCGACAAGCAGCTCAGATGCCATTTTGCAAAGCTGTGGCAGAGACTCGGCTCTCGAAAAGAAAGAGGAACACTTGGGGGAGGACGAGCATAATGAAGCTGCAGAGTGTGGTGAAATGCATTCAGAGGAGCTAAAGCTGGAGGAGCCACAGAGCAACACGGAGCCTTTAGAGCAGCAGCACAGAGCAGAGAATGAAATGAACACAGATGATGGACTAAACTCAGAGAAATATGGAAGTGAAGAGGTGACAAAAGTTGATGAGGAAAAGGAAGAGAATATGGAAAATAAGCAAAAACCTGAAGGGGAAAAACAAGAAAATGAAGATGCAAAAAAGGTGAGTGAACTGCTCTGTTCATGAAGTTATATTCATGAGGTTACTGACTATAAACCAACCACGCTCAGGTCGAGCGAAACACACACAGACACGCTCGTTGTGGAAAATCGTCTGATTTATTTTGTTACACATCATGTGGGATTACGTAGGAGTGGAGTGAATTCTTCTGCTGTGCCAACAAACACTCTGCACAACTCAGGGAGAAAAAAAAACAAAAAGAACATCTCCTCTCTTTGTCTTTCTCCCCGCCTCTTCTCAGGCTCACAGGTTAACCCCCGACTTCCCAGACTCCCTGTTCGAGCTGCTCTGCACCCTGCAGGAGGGCCGGCGGCTCAACGACCAGCGATGTTCCTTCAGTCTGGAGGGTGGGATGAGGAGAAGGAGGTGCCACTCAGAACCCAACACCAGGAAACCGGCTAACAGAGGTGCGTTCATCATGAGGTTCAACTGACACTGATGAAACTTGAGCAGCTGTTTCCATGACACCACTCTGACTCATTTTAACGGGGAATAATGAAAGCTTATTGTGGTTGCATAGCCTTTATGCTTCTGAAAGTTAAACATGAAATACCTGCTGAATCTTTCCTCTCTCTTTGCTTCCCAGTTGTCTTTTCCTCAATGACTTCACTGCAGAAGGAAGAGTTTTTTGACCTGGTTGCCACGGCACAGGCCCGCCGGCTGGATGACCAGAGGGCTCAGCTGGGCATTTCTCTGCCTCCAAAGACAAAGTCCAGAAGTTTCAGAGGCAGCTTAAAGCAGCTGTCTTTAATGAAAAAACCAGAACCGGCGCCTGCTCCGAAAGAGGATTTATATGATATGATCCTGACAACACAAGTGAGATTTTTAAAAAATGTTTTATTTAATGACCAGTGCTGCTGTTTTCTGACTCCTCCCTTTGCTGTGACCCCCAGGCTCAGGGCAGGCTGGAGGACCAGCGCAGCAGGGCTCCTGGCCCCATGGATGATGAAGACTTCTTCTCCCTCCTCCTTAAAGTGCAGGGGGGGCGAATGGATGAGCAGAGGACTGAACTACCGCGCTTGCTGAAAACCTGAGACAATTATTAGAAACTGTTTGGCCAGCACTGAGAGCCGACAAGTATTTTAGCCTTTTTTTTTTTTTTTGCTTTGATTTCCTGTAAAAGCAGAGCTTTCTGAACCGTTGTTCCTCCTGAATGTTAGCCAGTGTTAACCTTAAGATTGAAGCAGATTGAAGCAAAAAAAACGCTAATGTTTGCGCAGCAAAAAGCTTTTAGTCGTATTTCACACTGGAAAAACATCTAGAAATAAGTAAAAATTTCCTAAATTAAGTGTACCGGTATTTACCCTAAACTTGAGAGGGTAAATGAGATAGTTTGCCAATGGAATGAGTATTTTTACTCTTAGTATAAGATAATTAGATAAAATGCACTTGAAAAAGGACAATGCAATTGTGTTTTCTTATTTTAAATGTAAATTATCTTGTTCCACTGGCAAAATGTCTCTTTTACCTCCTCGATCCAAGAACAAATACACTTATTTTAAGAAAAAATGACTTATCTAGATTTCGATTTTTTTCCAGTGTAGGGACGTTTTTTGATTTTTTTTAAAAAGAGCAGGAATCATTTACATCCCGGATCTTAAGTGTTACTTTCTAGGTTTAAGGACATACTCTTTTGGAACTTACAGATTACTTTCAGACTTTTATCAATGATTTCTCAGAACTTATGATTTTTCATTCTAAACCCCACCTGAACATTAACTTTCCATAAAGTTCTGCAGAAACTTCCCTTAAAATTCTTTAAATGATCCATACACTGGAAAAACGATCTAGAAATAAGTAAAAAGTTCCTGAAATTAAGTATATTTACCCTTAATTTGAGTAGATAAATGAGATAGTTTGCCAATTGAATGAGTATTTCTTTCTCTTGAAATAAGATAATTAGATAATATGAACTTTAAATAAGACAACGCAATTGTGTTTTCTAATTTTAAGTGTAAACTGTCTTGTTCCATTGGAAAAATTTCACTTTTACCTCCTCTATCAAGGGACAAATGCACTTAATTTAGGAAATAATTACTCATCTAGATTTCGATTTTTTCCAGTGTAACCTGGTATTTTACACATAAAATCACTGTTACACTGTCTATAATTCATATTTAATAATTTTTAGGAGAGAAAATATATAAATAGAGCTCATTCAGACCCCTATTAATGCCCTCTTTTCTGTTACACATTGGGGTAAGTATGAGAATCTGATTTGTGTTTATGTCTATTTCTATTTCTGTTGTCTATATCCAAGTTTTAATGTATTTAAAGACGTAAATATGCTTAATAATTATTAGTGTTGTGCTGATTTTTTGGCCCCGATACCGATACCTGGTATTGGCTGATACTGATACCGATACCATCTGTTTGAAATGGATGTGTGTGTATATTTGAAGAAATGCATACTACCTGGATGTAAAATAATTGCCATCATGGCTTTACAAGTTCCAGTAGAACTTTTATTGCCTTCCTGGAATGGATGACAATAGTTGAATAAACTTTTTAGCTCTCAAAATGGTATCGGTGCCCTATTTGTTGGTACTCGCCGATACCGATGCCACCATTCTAGTGCGGGAACGGCGCTCCATCCAATACTGGTATCGCTATCGGTGCAACACTAACAATTATCCTTTTTTATTTGTTAGTTTAATTTCTACAGAGGATCTCAATACTTTTTGATTCCTGACCACACCTTTTGGAAAGGTTTCTTTAAGGGACTTTCAGTAAATATAAAGTACCAGCATCTACTAACCAAGTACCAGATTGCAAGACTATTAATCAGAACAGTCATCTTTCCTAAATGTTGTTCCTGAAAGTACGTTTTGGAAAATAACTTGAAAGATTCAGAACTCACCAGGTTTCATGTCACCTAATAAAAAAGCTAGATCACTGAAAGCTGCCAATTAACTCCTCAAAGTATATATATGTAAACTGTGATTAATATGAAAGAAGTCTTTCAGTTTTAGTCAGTAATATTTTCTACGGATCCTCTCAGGTCCTAAAAATGTGCCTTTATTTTCTGGAAGGACACTGATGGGTTTGGGGTAGAGAAATCCATAAATTTCTTCTAAAAAATAATCAAAGTCTTCTTTAAGTTTCAGTAATTTGACCTCCCAGTCCCAGATCTGCTCCTAGTATTACTTTGTCCCCAAAGGTAACTTTAATGCAGGTTCTGGGGCCACTATAGTTCCTGTAAGTTCTAGAAAGTAAGAGTTCTTGAAATAAACCTTTATACTGAAAGAAGTAATGTGCGTTCAAGAGAGTCACATCTGATTTCAAGAAAATAGTGTTTTGTTTTAAGTATTTGAAAAAGGTTCAAGGACTATTAGAGTTTTTATCATGTATTGTAACCAGAAATGTTTACCTTTTCTGTAGTTTTTTTTTCTTTTTTTCTTGCAAATCTGATGAGTTGATGAGATTTTTTGAAAGATGAGGAGACGTCCAGTGGATCTCCATCGTTAGTGTTTGTACAGTGATCAAATACGGTGAAACCGATGAGGTGATACTAAAAGCCACGCAATGCTTTAAGTGGTAAATGAAAGTTCTCTTCCAGAATAAATCAAATGCATCATGAGCCACTTAGATTTGTCAAGTTGTGAAATTATTTTGTCAGGAATAATGAATAAAAACTACTCATGAAGAAGATAGCTGTTATGTGTCTTATAGTACCAATCTAAATGAGTTTAAATAATGAATAACAAAGAAATAAATGAATATGAGTTCAAGCATCATTATCAAATATTTAAGTTTTAATTGTAAAAAACAGAAATGCCACAAATAGATAAAACACCATGTCACATGATTTCAGCAGTGGGCAGTTTCTTAAGTACCGTAGCACTGATGGGCTGCAATAGGAAAAAAACATTAAAAAAGCAGTGCATTGTGGGTAGGGCTGCAACTAACGATTATTATCCTTATCGTTTAATCAGTCGATTATTTTTTCAATGAAATTATTAATAATCAAATAGCAAAAGGTTTCTTAAAGTAAAGTTTTTACAGAATGAAATCAGGTGAAACTACAACTTTTCCACTGGTGGAGTTCTGGATAGAACACAGTGACAGACGAAAAAGGTTTTTTTTGTATCTTAAATCTTAAAACATTTGAATATTCTTTTGTTAATTTTTTTTAAACTTTATTTTGGTATAATTACTTCTCTAAGTGGGTTCCTCTGTCAGCAAAAGGCTTGTTTTGGTCTGTATTCTCCATTTAACGATTAACCGCTTATGTCATTAATCGATTAATCCCGATTAACGTTTCTGCCCTAGTTGTGGGAAATGATGTTTGAAACCGATAGATGCTGTCTATTTGACATGAGTAACTAGGCCAGTACCAATAGGAATATTTTCTCGGATTACCGCAGAAAAAATTGCAATGAATAATAATATTATCACTTGGTGTGCATCCAAAATGTTCAAACCAATTCCAACTGTTTTTCCAAATATCAGCATTTCTTTGCATCACTGCTTCTCAGCCACTCATGCTACACTCGCTACGCTAATGAAACGTTGGTTGGAAATCGGCACACAAGACTTTAAGTAGAAAGAAACACGAGGAAAACAAGCAATCATATAACTTTCAATTATTCAGCTCATTTAAATTTGTCATGAAATTAATTTTTATTATTTATTTATTGTTTGAAAGGCCTACAAGTCCCCCACGTTTTATCCTTGAGATTAGGGGTGCGCCGATTGATTTTGGGAGATCAGTGATCGGCCGGTACTTGGACGTGAAAGCGATCTTTTCAAACCAATTTTATATATATATATATATATATATATCTTATAAAAACTGACAGTGTCATTTATGAGAAAAATTAGTATCAGTTAAACTCAGAATCTGCATGACTGGCTCTCTAAAGATCGATTATCGGCCAAAAACCTGCAATCGGTGCACCCCTGCTTGAAATGAATCATCTAAATTATGAAATTTTCTTTAATTATGACAGGAAAATGTTTTTTTTTTAGTTCATATGCTTTGTAAAATTCTCTTTTTTTTTAATAATGTGCTTTTTTTTGGTAGATTCTTATTCAAAACATCTAAGAAAGCACCTCTGTTTATCACCAAAGGTCATTCTCCTGGGATAGGAACATTTCCTGGAACCTGGGATATCTTTTGAAAACAAACAGCTACACATGAATTTAACCGTCTACGGTAAAACAAGAGGACTAATGAAGTTCTTCTGACTGATCATATAGGGCACAGATAAGGATGTAAATGTTTAACAGTTAAGCGGGACACTTATAGGCGCTATCTGTGATCAACTTCCTGAATTTTGAAGTTTATGCTTCTTTATCATTACAGAAGCAAATGTCAGAAACTGCATTTCTAATATCGAAGCAAATATTGTTTTCTGTTTGTCTGTCAAAAATATTAGATGCAGTTGAAAAATGATTGCATATCTGTAAAGTAAGGTTTATTGTTGTTCTTCAAAGTACATATGTGTTTAGTAACCCATAATCTTATTAAGCTACTTTTAGTATTTAGTCATAAACAGAGCCTGTTTGTGCCTCGTCATAAACTGAACTGTTTGAGGCATAACATGCTTTCCGTAATGCATGCAGGCAAAAACGAAGGCTGTCTCCTGTCAGCACGCTCTGCGGCTCGGGTAGAAACCGTTGACTTCGTCTGCTCTGCGGCCTTTCGGCTCAGAGGAAACCTGTCTGAGGAAGCAGTCACCCGCCTACGCAGGCAATAGCGAGAGGTCAGAGGTGACGAGAGGATGCCGTGTCACTTCCCCAAACAGAGGAGAATTAGCCAATGATCGCTGACCAACACCTGCACTGCACACTGTGGGGGAGGAGAAGAAAGTATGCAACAAATGTGAAGCTGCATATTTCAGCAAATGTTATGAAACAGGAAATGCTCAGGCTGATTAAGTTCCACTTTTAAGATGAATGTGCTTTTTTTTTCTCTCCCAAGAGCTGGGTGATATATTCAGCTAGTTTGTTCTTCATCAGAAGGATTAAAGGTCACATGTTACAAAAAGGATCTGTGTTTTATTTATCTTTCATAAACGATGAGCAGATCAACACTAAAAGCTGTATTTCTGATCAAATCCCTTTCACCTGATGGGACACATATAATTAACACCAAATAAGTTCAATACCCATGGCACATTCTGGTTAAAATATCATTTAAAACATTTACCAGAAGGCTTTTTCGACCGTGAAGTAACATGACCATTTTGGAGCCAGAATCCAGATAAGAATCTGATAGAGAATCTGTGGAGGGATCTATAAATTAGAGTGACAGCAAGAGGGCTTTTCGACCCTAAAGACATTAAGCTTATTACCATAGATAAGTCATCAAATTACCAGTGTATACATGCAGCCATGGAAACTAATCATTAGACCATCCTTGTTTAAAAACAAAATAAAGGTTAGGCAATCAATAACCAACTTCCGCTGTATTATGCAACTAAAACAGAAAAGAAAATAGAATGGCTACAAACCTAAGCATAGCTATGTAAGAGCATGAATATGGAGCAAAAGAAAAACATTTATTGGCATAACGTTTTATCTGGTCCTTATTTCACAAAGCAGTTCTAGGGTAAATTTCTGCATACCTTAGCTTTTCTGTTACAGAGAGCTGGGAAGCCATCATCCTGGGTAAAACCAGGAGAATAATTACTCTGTGAAATAACCCTGATCAGTAGCAGGGTTGTTAAGAGTAACTCTGGGTATTTCCTAATTTTTAGCTGACCTCTGCATGAGGAAATATTGGAAACAAGTTCTTTATGGCTGGACCCCAAATTCCCTGAAGATATCTCCATCTGGAAGGCATGATGAAATGTCTTTTTCTTTTTAAAAGAAATATCTCATCTTAAAATAAACTTTAATAAAGGTATCATATTTTAATATTTCAGATAGCCCTAAAAAAATAATGTGAAGATGACCTGCAACACTTATTTTATCTATTTTCTGAAATATTTTGGGAACCACATATTTAGTTATGTTGCACAAAATCACATTCAATGCACAGACAGAAGTTAAATGGGAACATAATTAAAAAAAATAGCAAAAATATTTTTAATATTATTAAAATAATATTATTAATATAAAAAAATGTTCTGTTGTTTAACAAACTTTCTTGAAATCACATGCTTTGCTCTGACTTTAGTGGCAAACTGAATCTATGTCTAATTTTTCTATCTATAATTTTTTTTACATCTATCCTACATCCTATATCTATAAATGAATGTTCTATTTCTAAATCTTACACTTTCATCTAAATCTATATCTCATATCTGAATATATATATATATATATATATATATATATATATATATATATATATATATATATATATATATATATATATATATATATATATATAAGCCAATTTTAACCTGGCCCTTTAACAGCTCAGTCTGTGGTCCCACCCCCAAGGCATAGGAACCAATCAGGAAAGGAGGCCACCTTTCCTTTTTATCCCCTATGGCCTGTGGGTGTGGCCACAAACTGAGCTGTTAGAGGCTTCTGTTCTGATGTTGCCATGGTGATTCTCAGTTCTATGGTCCAGGGGATTCTTATAGTTTATGCTAAATTCAGAGTTGATGAGATGCCGAGTTACTGTCTGTCATGGAAAACTCTGAGTAGTGAAGAAAGGAGTAGAAGGAGTAGAACTACCGGTACTAAAAAGTAGTGCTTTGTACTCAGGGTGGGACAGCAGTTCTTTCTAAAATGGAGTTGGTGACAATCCAAGTAATCTATACATGGAAAGATACCAAAACAAACAGGCTCCGGATTGAAGCTATATGTGTATAATGAGAAATACCAGAGGCAGAAAGTATCAAACATGCTCACTGATAACAATTTAATTATTTGTAAAAAAAAAAAAAAAAAAAAAAAAAAAAAAGAAGCCTTTGTTGGGAATGACAGCTTCAAGACAAGTCGGAAGCATTTATTTCATATTGACTATAAATGTAACATTGTGTCCAGTTTGTAAGTCGCTTTGGATAAAAGCATCTGCTAAATGAATAAACATAAACATATGCAGGGTGGTGGTGTGGTGGGGGGGGGGGGCATTGGCTAAGGGAGGAGTGGCTAAGTGCCATTTACAGCCACATGTGGCTTTTCCCTCCATCATTTACAGCTTATAGTGACTTTATTGGTCTGTAGAGAATCTCCTTTAACTCCTTTATATAGAACAAATTTCTATCTAGAAAAAAATTCATTCCGCCTCAATTTGACAATGATCTAATGTTCAATCTCTCTAAAGTTACTTCAGTTAAACCACTAACCCCGGTTCCAGGAGAGGAATTCAACTATTTAATCTTGTTTACTGTATTTACTCATAGTAAAACTTAGACATATGTGTATCCAGAATAATATAAATGTTCATAAACTACAATAAACACAGTTAAAACTATAAGCAAGGGAATCAGAAAGCAAACAAAGTCCAGAAATGCCCTGACTCTATATCTAGTTCACAGCTGACCGCCTCATGGTTGGTGTAACTTCACCAGCATCTCAGTTGATCCCAATAAGCTGATAGAAAGATAAAGCATCAGTTTTATCCAAATGTACCGAGATCTACTAATGAAGCGACTAAAGAAGACTTAAAAAGAAATCACACCTGAAGAACATCATGTTAAAGCTTTCTTACCTTTTTCCCCTACATTTTAAATCTTTACACATCCCCTCCACACAACTGCTGTGATGCTCATGTTCAAAATGCCTCCTGTATGGAGAACTCAGTGGCATGCATCAGTCAGGTGGGATTTTGGCTAATTTTTCACAAGCAGCTTTTAAATCTTGTAGTTTCTTTGGGCCTAGTCTGTGAATTCTGATACGGTATTCAATTGGATTCAGATCAGATGATTGGCTGGGCCATTCTAGCAGCTTTCCTTCTTTTCTCTTTTGCATACCGTATTTTCCGCACTATCTCAAAAGCCGACAGTGCGCCTTATAATCCGGTGCGCCTTAAATATTGCAACTACGGTAAGCAGCCGCCGATTCCTGGACTTTCAGGAAGGCAGGAATTATCACTGAACTGCTAGACAGCAGCAGCGACACTGACTCGATCAATTACGACTTCGAAGAGACGGAGCCGAGCATGTTGGATCCCATATCGCCCAACTGTTTAATTCGGACACCGAAAAGAAGACTTCCAGGCTTCCATACTCAATAGGTTGTTATCACCAAATGAATTCTAATCCCAACCCTAAGGTCATTCCTTTTTTACCTGCAGAGTTAGTTAATCTACGTATGTGTAATCAAAACATAATTTAAATAGTTCTTCATCTATTGTAAAAAAAAAAATAAAAATATTTAATCGTCAGATAAGCTCATATCAAACAACCCCTCCTAGAAAAAAATCTCACATCGTGTTAGCTGAGTTGTTTTTAAACACCACATTAATTCCGTGGGACTGAAACATGTGGAATTAACTCGAAATAAAGCTTTAAAACGCAGTTGTTTTTTTTAAGATGGTAGGCTGCAAATAAAGTAGATAAAAAGTATAAAGTAGGTTAACAGAAAGTGAAACTTGGGGTTTTAGACATGGCTGAAATGGCTCTTATCAACAACAACCTCTAATAAGGGTTATTTAATGGTTGATCGCATCAGAAGCGGCTGCAACAGATCTTGCTCCGCTATCAACATCTAGTCCAGCTTGTTCCAGAAATCCCATAATATAATTTACAATCACACCTTATTTCCATTTGGGGATTTATAAAGTATTAATTAATTATCTAAAGCAAATTCTAAAGTAAGTTGGACAAATGTTGTATTTTGTTTATTAATAAAGAAAAAATACAGAGATGGGGTCATTTACAACCAAAAAGGCAAAAATATGAAGATAAACTGCAAAGAGCTTAGTTATATTGTTTTATATAAGGGAAAGGGATGGAAGGCATACATTCAGCTAATAGCACAAAGATATAAGAGAAACTTATTGCGAAATCCATGTATTTAGCTCTAACTGAGCTGCTATTTAGCTCAGTGGATTAGTAATTTCCCCTGAAAAAGAAAGCCACTGTTGTGGTTTTCCACAATCTAACCATAGATGTTTCTGCCAGAGAACATATTTGGTAAATAGATACACTTCCGGAAAGCTCGTCATTGATCACGTGACTTCCTCCTGGGTGATTTTATTAAGGTCAGGCCACCATTCAGGTAGCTTTAGAAAACAACAGAATTTAAATGAACATAAACGAAATAAAACAGAAAGTCTAAGCATGTTGGTAGGGTGGTTTCATTAAGTTAATCCCGTTTAAATGCCGCCTTGAAGCTTTGAACTTTTTTCCGGAACCGTGACGTCACTGTCTAGTCCTTGTGGGATTAATTTAAAGCAGAAACTGTTTCTTTTTTTGTAACTCTCTTTTGTTTTCTTTTTTTTGTAACTCTCTTTTGTTTTCTTTTTCACTATTAACACGCTTGTAATGTATTAATTGATGTTTTGATATGGTTTTTGATACTGTTTGTCACTTTTGTTAATAAAGTTTTATTGAAAAAAATAAATTAAATCAGAAACAACCAGGATGCGGATACAAGGAAGAAACAGAAAGTGTTTTCTCACCATGTGAGAGTTTTAAAGGACAACATTGAAGAGACTTTAGGTAGAGGTTTGTATAAACTACACTTAAACACTCCGAACTCGGTGTAGCTTCATTATTATTTAACAGCTAAAGTAGTTATTGTTAATTTACGATGTAGTCAGGCCAGATAGTTTTATTTCTTTCGAGAATAAAGTCATAATTTTATGAGAATAAAAGCTTAAAATGACCAGAATAAAGTCGTAAAAATACGAACATAAAGTTGTTGATGACAACTTTTACAAGGAGAACATTCTTCACTAAAAGGAGGAATGTTGAGCATCAGGAAATCTTTTAGCACACCAACTTAGCATGATATTACGGCTTAATTCTCGGAAGAAAAAAAACAACAACAAAAAACTCTAGCCTGGCCCTATGGAAGCCAGTTTCCGCCACTCTGTTAAAAAAGGAAAAGAAATTATCTCGAAATGAGATAGTAACTAAATAATGAGATACTATCTCAAAATAAAGAGATAGTACGTCATTATAATGAGATACTATCATAGTATCTCATTATTTAGAGTTACTATTTCATTATAATTAGATACTATCTCATTATTTTGAGATACTCTCATTATTTTGAGATAGTATCTCATTATTTAGAGTTGCTATTTCATTACAATGAGATAGTAACTCAAAATAATGAGATACTGTCTCATTATAATGAAATAGTATCTCAAAATAATGAGAGAGTATCTCATGATGAGATAGTAAGTCATTATAGCCTTAGATTGTACTTGTCATTCTTTACACACAAGTGTAAACCAAAAGAACATTTGTTAAGTACAGCTGTCTAGACTATTTAATTTTTTAAAGTGCAGCCTTGATAAGGTAAGCAGCAGTGATAAAAAGTGATGTAAACATATGACTGCATAGTTATTCCAACATTCAGTTTTGTTTGTTTTTTATAATGAGATTCTGTCTCATTATAATGAGATCGTTTATTTTTATTTTTTTTGACAGAGTGGTGGAAACGGGCTTCCATATATGGCCTTAATACTCTGTGGTAAAGTAGTTATAAGGAAACAATTTGCTTTGTTTATCTATGAGACAAAGCAGAAGTGGAATTAAAATGGAAGACTGTAAAGAATTATTATACTTCGTTTAGGAAACTGGCGCCTTCAAGCTGGCTCTGAAATTGTCCACACAAAAGTGTCCACACAAAAACATATTTTTTTTAAATCTGGGGATATTTTGAGTTTGATGTGCTGTTTCTCTGTTAAGACCAAGGAACTTAGAAATATTAAGAAGTTAAAAGAAGAAGTGAGGCCAAAGCTGTTGACTGAAACTCACAGCAATAAGAAAACAGCAGAGCCTGGAAACAGGACCTGAGAGAAGCATCAGCCCTCCTCCAAAATAAACCTGCTGTTTGCAGAAACAGCTTCATAAATCAGCTCGGAAGAACTGCCGTCCTGAGGTCAGTCAGGGGAGCGGGGATCTGGGGATTAAATTGGCCAAATTTAATCAGATTTATCAAATAATGGACTGTGGCATTGCTTAAGGAGTGTCTGAGCTGTGCAGCATGTATTTACAGAGGACATTTGTGGACAGAAACCTAGAAAACAACCTGCTAAACCATATTCTGCTCTGAGAAAAAAACTTTGACAGATTTAGAATATTTAGACAAATAAGCCGGTAGTATGTCATCTTGAACATTCTGTGAAATATTGTGTTATCCACTTTATGTTTAATCATTGTAGTAATTCTGAATTATAAATGACCAGTTTGAAATAAATTCAGTTTGCATGAGGAAGTCTGTTTTCGTCTGAACTGTTTGCTGATATTTTCATGAAGCTTTTAAAAAAGTAGATAAATTATTTCATCAACTGTTTTTCTTATTGCAAAATGCTACATCAATATTGATTGTAAAATGTTGAAAATAATGTAATATAATCATGAGAAGTTGCAGGGTTGAAGGACTTTTATTTTAATGAATTACTCTCCTTTTCTTCCTAGATGCATCTGATACTTCCCCTGCTGTTTTTATTTGCGCCACTAGGGGGCGACGCATCCCCAATCAGCTGCTACAACGACCAGGGTGAAGCTGTTGACTGGTAAATATTCTATTTTATGCCAAAATTCCAAGACTTTGAGGTAAAAAAAAAAAAGTTGAAGACTCTGTTAAACTTCTTACTGCTCCTGCGTTAATCCTCTGCTGTCTTTTTCTGTGCAAATCAGGTTTTACCTCTACAAACTGCCTAAAGAGAGGGGACAAAAATATAAGCATGGGGGTGATACATATTTATTGCTGGACAAAGGGAGTGAAGGATGGACTGAGGGGAAGGTGACGGTGAACGACACCACGGGAGCTTTGGGGCGGACGGTCGGACAGCTGTACCCGCAGGAAAAGGTTGGCTTCCTTTAGGTTTCCTTTATATCTGCAGCAGGTCAGGTGCTGATTCTAAAAATTACAAGATCCACTTCCTTTTCTTTAGAAAAATAACAACTACAATACTAGGTCAGCATTTTTCCAATAAAAACGGATTATAAAGCAGTTTTCACTTCCTTCATATTCATGTATTCAGGTTGCACCACGTGGAAATGGCTTCAGGCGGCAGGTAGCCTACCGCAGTTTCTCAAAAATCTCAAAACAAATCTTATTAAAAGTGGGACCCAAAGACAGAAGCATTAAAAGTGGATGCAAGAAAATGAATCAATAAAAGGGATGTAGCAAAGACAAAAGAATAGTTGGGAATACGTTTTTCTATGTAAGTATTTTGTTTTAGGAGCTGCAGCTGCTCAGATGCTTTGATCTCATGTCGCTTATAATTCTTTCCCTTTATTTCAGCAAATGAAAGCTCTCTTTAAGTTTTGCTGAAGCTAAAAATAGACATATTTCCCCCAGGGAATTTACATCAGAGCGTAAAAAAAAGATGTTATAAAAAAAAAAAAAAGGTATAATATGAACTGAAGCATATTCTCAGGCTTTTTATGCGGTTTAATGACTAAATAACTATTACTCTGCTCTTTGTTTGCTAAAATTACAACTTTTTTTTTTTTTTCAACGTGACCCCTATGTAAGTTCTGTTGGGTTTCCCGTAATCCATATCAGAAAAACAAGTAATAACTTCTTAAAATGCAATTTAAGCAGGAAAATAAGATTATATTCCAATAGAATAAGTATTTCTGCCTTTAAAGGATAATATTTAGATTTTATTTTGGGGAAATAGTATAACAGAATTGCTTTTTTTTTCTTATTTTAAATGTAAATTATCTTTTCTATTTGAAATAGTCTTAAAATAAGAAAAAATACACTTAGTTTTTTCTTGGTTTAAGAAGTTATATAATACTTTTTGTCGACGAATTAGATTAAAAATAATAAAATAAAGTTATTGTTTGATTTCAAGTGCAAAATATGATAAATAAAATAATCAAAAGTTTCCAAGACACATGAATTTCAGAGTTATAGCATATTTATATATAATAGAGTAGAAAAAGGTTCATTAGGAGTCACTAACACACTGCAACCTGCTCTGCTGTTGTGCAGGGAAACCAAAAATCAAAGAGATATTCTCTTGATCAGAGATTCATTTATGCCTTTTGAACGTCTTAATTAATAGATAAGTGTGGAGGGTGCCTTATTCACACGAGGAGAAAAAGACAAATAGCTAAAATTAAAAGTATGTCATTTTCATATCATAAAGGATTTTATGTTTTTGAATGTTTCCTTTTTAACAGTTTTTTTTCATCTTTTTATAAAATATTTTATTTTCAGTGTTTTTTACAAATGTAAGTTTTACGAATTTCATTCTTTCAAAAATGCATTTTAAAGATCACATTCTTTTCATGCTGGTGAAGATTCTCAGTTATCCAGGTCATAGTCCTTCCAAAAAAAGTAAAAAAAAAAACTATCCACTTGGTTTCCAAGTTTGAAGGCAAGTCAAGGCAAGGCAAATTTATTTGAATAGCACAATTCAGTACAAAGACAATGCAAAGTGCTTTACATGATTAAAATACAGGAAGATAAAACAGAATCAAAGCAAGTAGGAAAAAAAAAATATATATATATATAATGAAGACATTCGTTTGAAGACATTTCTCTTCCCATCCAGGAAGCTTTTTCAATTCCAAATGTCAGAAATAACGTTGAGTTTTAGGCTTTATACAGTAGCTCAACAAAGCCCTTTTTGTTTAGAAAACATGCAAATTAAACCTAACGAACGGGTCCACCCCTTCTGGAATGGGGGTCGTTTGGCCTCTTTGTTAGCCTGCAATACCCCATACTTGTAAAAAGGTTGGGGTTACGATGATCATGGGAAGGAATCAACTCTATCGCTACATTGCAGGTTTTTGAAAGCGGAAATCTGAGTCCACCCCCCTCTGTTTAAGGTTAGTAGATGGCTTCTTTCACACCCCTTTCAAACCACCAATGTTCTTTGTCCAAAATGTGATCATTCTGGTCCATAAAAGAATGTCCAGAGGGGGTGGCTCTTCTGTGTTGGGCCATGCGTCTGTGGAGAGGTTGTTTCCAGTCCAGTGGATTGTTTTTTGTCTCTTTTGGAATCACGTTGGTTTTACTTCTGAGGGCGGGGCTTCTTGTGGAGCAAGGAGCAAAGACGCATTTCTATTGGTCTGCATGGATGTTAGCGACATCATTTTATTGGTCAATGTGGGCGTCAAGTGTTTGTATTGGGCTCAAGGGCAAGAGAATGGGATCTGTGACAAGGCATATGAAGAGAATGCAATAACTAAAGCTTAGTCTGAGAAGCAGAAAAATGTCAATATAAAATCTGAAAAAAATAAATTTGATAAAAATAAATAAAATAAAAATAAAACAATATGACAAAACTGAAAAATTGCTCTTAAAGTTTTTTTATTTATTTAATTGTTTATTAAAGTAAGCATTAGTTATTTTTTAAATTTAAATTTACAAAAATGCTTTTTTGTCGCAACAATAATTGAGCAAAATTCTCTCCATATGTGTTGTTTTTATTGCCTGTTTTTTGTCCCTTAGAGTCCACATAGCTTCGAATCAAATCCCAGTTTGTCTGTCTCTTGACAGAACATCGGACTAAACAGTTAATCTACAGTTAGCTCCACATCCTGAGCTGCACAGAAATCTGAAGCAATCAAAGCCACTTAAAAGATAAGAAAGTCTGGCTGCCCGATAGGCAAACCTAAAGAAATGAGCTCAGAGATTTACTCAGTATTTATTTTAAAGAAATATGTAGAATTATTATTGAATCCTAAAGTGATTGCTTCGTGTTCTGTCTCTATTTTGTTCACTCTGTAGTTTTCCATGTTGTATTTGAATCACCTTGATAACAAAACTAAAATAAATCTTTGTATCTTAGTGCTTTAAATGATTTCCAAAATCAAATCTTTTAAACAGAAAATGTGAGGGACCTCTGTGTAGAATAGAACTAGATAATGTTTGATCTTCTTGTTCATTGATTGCTCCAAACTTTTTTTTTTTATGTTTTCAGGCATTTACTAAACATGGCTCGAGCCTATTTTATACAGGCCTGCTTGCTGTTCTTTCTTGACTTTATTCTCAAGATTTAAAATAAGTAGCTTATAAGGAGAAGTGAAAAAAGGGCTTTCGTGTTTACACCCAGCTGGTTGGTTCATAATGTGGTTCTTAGCCGCCATGTAAGGTTCAGCATTTATTCGTTCCAGACTTTCCTGTTTGTCTGTTTGTCAGCTTCTCCTTTAAGGAGTTGATGCCGTGATGGGAACTGGTCAAACAGGGAAACCCTGACGTCTCTGTCCTGTTTCCAGTCTGACTCTAATACACCCTGCAGAGGAAACTAGCTCATAGTATCAGCAATCACTTTGGTCATAATCTGTATCTCATGACAGTTGGTGAAGTGAGGAAAATAAATGAAAATGGACACTGCTTTCGCTTCCTCACAAACGCCTCAGTGCATCTATGCTCTCGCTGCGCCTAACATCCCTCGTTACCAAACACCCAGTACATTTTGCAGGGTAAAGGAACACTTTAAGTGTTATATTAAACACCAATCCGATCTCATTTGGTCCCACTCTGAATTAAGACGCTTTCCCTCTCAAAACGGGCTAACAATCCCGCTAACAATCGGCTTTTGGCTCTTTATCCATTTCAAGATGCATGACCGTCCCCCACTACTGCGTGTCTGATGACGGCATCACGCTGGGTAAGCGTTGATAATGTCGACAGCCTGATGGAAATCAGGGAAGTAAATAATGGAGAGCGACATGGACGGGAGCCAGACCGTATTCTTTATTATCTCGCTCTTTTATCTGTCCGAATCCCTCTCACCCGAGCTGCGCCATGTTTATCGGATGTAAACAGAGTCGTTTCTGCTTGTTAAAACAGAAGCGACTGGTGCAGTGTGTTGACGTCCGTACGTTGTGTCCAAGAGTGTCCCAAAGCATGCCGATTTTAACGCAGGTCAAATGCCAAGTCGTTGAAACTGGGTTACTGAGCTGTTCCCACTAAAATCCCATTGTTTCTGGGTTTAAACGGGTTTTTCGGCCCTGTGAAAGCGGTATTTATGTGAAATTAACTCTCTACTTCAGGTATCTCACTCCGGTTGTTGTAATAACTAAAAGAGTCAGTTTACTTTGACATTACAAAAACCAACCTCAAACAGAGGGGGTGGACTCAGCAATACCGATCTAAATTTTCTCAATATGCAGTAGGCCTATAACATTTCAAAGTCAAAGTCAGCTTTAATGTCAATTCTTCAGATTCACCAGACATACAAGGACTCGAGAGGATGTTTCTCATTCACCAACAGTGAAACAGATAAGATTAGTTCCTAATACTAAAATTTAGCTATGCACGATATTGGGATTTTGGCCGATATCCGATATGCCGATATTTTAAAACTCATGTAGCCGATAACCGATATCTATACCGGTGTTAAAGCTGGACAAAAATAAGTAGTCATTGAAAATAGCAGTTTTGTTATCCATTTATGACACTTTGAAAAATAATATAATCAAATATATTTTCATATGCTGATATCAAATAGATTTTTAAAAACGCGGTATCGCTCTATTTTACTTTCAAAATCTCGTGAAATTTCATCGTTCTGTTACAAACTCTCCTGATATTTTGCAATTTCTTGTGAGATTTTGTTAGTAAAATAGATCGATACCGCGTCAATATATCAACATATAAAAATATGGCACAATTTTGTGAATTTTCGGGGGATTTCTTAGCATAACGATGACATATAGCAATATTTCATTAGTAAAAGAGATTGATATGGTGTTTTTAAATGGCAATATATCAGCATATGAAGATATTGTGATATTTTAATGTATCAATATTTTTTCCCTCGTCTTTAGAAGTTTTTAAGTCTGTAAAAAAGAAGTTTTTGAGGAAGAAGAAGAAGTAGTATTTTTTTTTTTTTTTTTTTACTCAGAAGCTGATCAAATATCGGGTTAAATATCGGTGGGGTGGCCGATGTCCGATATTCAGTTTTAAGGCCGATTCCGATAGGGGGCCGATTATATCGTGCATCCCTACTAAAATTTAAACATTCAATTTCACAACAAAATATCAAATGTACAATAATATAAAATATGCAATACCTATGCTAGTGCAAAAAGGCAGATGGTAATGGCAGCAGAAAAAAATATTATTATTACCCATTATGTAAGATATAGCATTTGTAACTGTAACAGTGCAAAAGAACAGTAAATAAATATAGTATTAATAGTAGTGCAGGAGACAGTTTGTCCGGAGTGATTTTTTTTTTGAGGGGGGGTCAGCTTCCTGACAGCTTGGTGGACGAAGCTTTCTGTGAATCTGGTGGAGCGGGCAAGAGCCTGAACAGACAGTCTATGAAAACACGCACAAAGACTGTCTGTCTGTCTCTGTCTGTCTGTCTGTCTGTCTCTCTCTTTCATACACGCACATGTCCTGCTTTAATCCAGTTTCTGACGAATGGAAATGGGTCGAATTTGTCCAGAGGAGGTCCGTTGAGGTCCACAAACAGGAGTGAAGACCTGCTTTCTTCGCACAATCTGTTCCGCGTTGCCCGTGTTATTAAGTGTGGAAAAGCACATGGCTAATTTGCATAGGCGAACAGGATTGGCTGGCTCCACTTGGCAAAAAACAGAACATATTTGTGAATAAAGGTTTTGAATTTTAATACTGGACATGTTGAGCTTAAAAACATTTTAGTGACCATTAGTGACAAAAAAATATTTTATTTTAAATTTTGTTGACACAATTTAAGACCTCCTTTAAATTTTGGTTTTTGAGGCTTTCAGAGGGTCTCATGGGTAAATCGTACACCCTCCCCGTATTTCACACTCTGCCTTTAACGACCACCCTTTTGGAGACATAGACCAGCATCGGTTATTGCAGGCTAATGAAGAACCCAAACGACTGCCCGTTCCTAAGGGGCGGACCTCTTCGTCCGTTTGAATTTGCATGTTTTCTAACCCAAACCAAGGCTGTGTTTTTGGTCAACTCTATAAAGCCTCGAACTCAATGCTATTCTGACATTTTGAATGCGCAAAAAGCGCAACTTTGAGTGAGGAGCGAATGAGCGAACATCCTCCTGAGCCGGGAGCGGGAAGTGCGCGGCTCCCTTCCTTTTACAAGATGTGTTCTTTACTTCAAACGATTATGTAACAAGATTCACTCATGAGACCACAGATAGGTCCACAGATCCACACAAAAAGTAGACATTCCTAAATCCGTTTTTGACTCTAGGATTGAATGTTGAGATCCCGTTCAGAGTCCATCATGAACTGAGCCAAATTTAAGTCTGAGGGAATTAAAATATTTATTAATTTTGTTTGTAATCCTTATTTGTGAAAAAGCTGTGTCAAAATCAGTGTGTTGTTTAAATAAAATATTCTTTCTACAGAATTCAGAGCTAGCGTACATCCTTTACAATGACCAGAAACCTGTTGGGCAGTTTGGTGACCGATGGACTGAAAACAGCGGAAACGGAAGAGGGCACACCAAAGGTCAGGTTCCTCTGTGTCCGTAGCCATGTTTACGAGCATCGGATCGAAATGTGTTTAGATCAAAAAAGAAAAAGTATTCGAGTTGCACCGTTTATGTGGACAAAAATTATTTGAATAAAAAGGTGAATCAGACTGAAAATGAGATGTAAACGTGCTGATCAAAATAGTCTAAAAAGCTTTTAGCCGCCAAAAGCGGATGTATTCAAGTCAGCCTGCTGGATTAAAATAAAGCCAATCGAATTTTCAGTTTGGATCAATCATTTTATTTGGATCCTGCTGAATCGAATCAGAAGATTCTGTCTGACATGTTTACATGACACCTTTTTAGTCCAATCAGATTTTCCCCAAAATGGGCCATCTCCTACCTGATCTTTAATGATCTTTTAAAAATGACTCCCAAATAGGATGCTCCCCTCTGAGGATCTCATCCGATGTTTAACCTGTTTCATGCAATGGATGGGTTTTCAGAAAACAATGATTTCGGTTGGTGTTAACCCTTGGATCCTCTCCACCCTTCAGGCATGGTTCTGCTGGATAAGAATCAGGGCTTCTGGTTGGTCCACAGCACCCCTCACTTCCCCCCTGAGCAACGGGAAGGAGTGTTTTATTACCCAGGCAGCGGAGTGAACAACGGCCAGAACTTCATCTGCGTGACCTACCCGCTAAAACGTTTCCAGACAATCGGTAAGGCTGGGGGCCTAGATGCTATCTGTCTCATCTAGATACACTACATCTTTATGTCTTTGCAGAGAGAGAGCCAAGGTTTATTATTTTATCCAGCTTATTATACTCATACACATGTATAAAATGAATGAGCAGATATACTAAAAAAACAACATCATAGAAATTATGCTATTTATATTTTTTGCACAACAATCATCAGAAAATAACCGGCATCTAAAGAAAAGTTGGTACAGAAAAAAAAGTTCACGATGTTTGAATGAAATATAGAGACAGACTATTTGTCAGGGTTTGTTGAGGTTTTGTAACCTGACTCCGCCAGATGGATTTGCTCCGCATATCCATCTGGAAACCTTCCGTTGAAGAAATTTTGGGAAGGGGCGAAAATACTGGTTAGCTGATTGGCCTATGTTGGTGATAGACGGGCCAAATAAACCAATCAGATCAACGAAGCATATGACGTCACAGAGCGACGACGAAGAGGAGTCAATTGATAGATCAAACTCTTGCCGAAACCAGTGGGGAGAAAAGCAAAAACATCTTTTCCTCTGAGAAAAGCCTCCAGAGCAGTGTTTTGCTCTTCTTTCAGTGAAGAAATACTCTGTAATTCCGATAAAACTTGCTCGATAGCCACGCTAACGCTAGTTTCATCGGCTGAAGCCGCCATGTTCTTTAGACTGAACTGTCGCTCTTCTTGTTGCGTCACACCTCAACCCGCCTCAAAGCCAACGCTGATTGGACGTTCATTTGGTGAACGGCTCCATATTTTCTTTAACGGAGAGTCTCCAGACTGATCTGCGAGTGAAATCTTGAAAGCTCGCGAGATCAGGATGGTCTCACAAGGCTACCACTGAGCAGCCCTGAATTTTAAAACCCAATATCTGTAGATATAAAAAAAAAAAAAAAAAAAAGAACTGGTTTCATTCCCTTTCTTTATCAGATCTCTAATATTTTAATGTTTATTTTAATAAAGAAAATAAACCTTTCTTCTAAAAAGAAAACTCCCTGGTTGAAGTAGATAGAAAAAGCAGCCAATGCCAGAAAAAACAGAAAAAAAATCTCTTTCCTCCAGCTTAAATAAAACGATAACGCATCTCCTTTCTGAGGCGTATTGCCTGGAAGCTGCTGCTTTTTTTTTATTGCGTTATTGTCGCCCACTGTTTACCAGTCCGTTCAGGTAAAAGACACAACAATCCGTGTAAACAGGTGTCATCTCCGTGTCACCCGGACACCACAGCGTGCTGGCCGACTGAGCCGTTGGCTCGGTTGCTATGGCAGAGCCGGGGATAATGTAATTAGACGGAGGTGTGTAACCATAGAGATGGAGGCCCTCACGCTGGCTGCGGCGGGGATTCGTTTCATCATGTCCTCGTCTCTCCAGCTGAGATGTACTGGGTGTCTGGGGAAAAGGTGGACACACGGGCGGAGAGCATCTGGTCAAGGGAGGGATCGCAGCTTTGCTACCTTTTGTTTTATCACCACCTGCAGCATTAAATTTCCAATAAATTAAAGAGAAACAGGTTTTCTGCTCTTGTTGTTTACTTTGTAATCATCTCATGTAGACTACCTCAAATTAAAAGCTGTTAAACTGACAGAACGTCTGCTAACAAAATGAATCAGTCTAACTTTTTTTAATTTAGTTTGTGTTTAAACGGTGTGGCAACTAAGAGAAGTCTATTTATTTATTCAGTTTAATTCAAAGCAATGCTGTTGTGTTTAGATAATTAAATCCTACTGCAGAGATCTCATTTAGACAGCATGAGTCGTTTTATGGCTTTGCTCGAGTTATTGGGCGTAAAGCAAAGGTTGATCAAATTAGGAATCTCATCTTTCCAAATCCACAAGGCAAAACAAAAAGCACAATTTTGTGCGTACAAAGTTGGCTCTTATTTGATTTAAGGATTATGAGGCAGAGCTTCAAAGATTGCAAATGAGGAGCTCTAAACTGAGTGGGTAAAAAAATATATATATAATAATCGGGCAGGTTGCAGGTGGTCTGCACAGATAAGACATGGAAACCAGTCCTGTTCAGCCCCATTTAAATGAGCAAACCACCCCAGCCTGAGGTGATGGGGGTAATAATCTTTAAAACAAATAATGATAAATAGTATTAATATTATTTAAAGTGCACTCTACTAGGGAATCAAAAGTTCAATACTCAGTTCCTGCATGCTGGTAAAAAACTTTTTATGGTATTGATACTAAAGACAAGTGTTTGCATATTTGTTTTGCTATTCCTAATTTTAGATATCTGCATTATTTGAATAAATAAAGAATAAAACCTCTAGGTATTCTTAAACTGCAATGTATTATTTATTGTTCCTTTATTTGCACACTGCACTTACACTGTAGCATCTGTAATTCTGGTTTCAAAGCATCCTCCAAGCTGGGATTTTTTTTCCCATGTCAATAAAAATAGTTTTGATGCCACTTATCATTTTTATCGTTTTTTTATTTCCCTGATTTTAAAAAACAGTATCAAGTAATATTTTATCCGCCCATATAGAATACTATACAGGCCAAGATATTTTCGTATCTTGAAAGCCCTACATTCAGCATATAAGTATCTAAAAGCAATAGAAAGAAAAGGGAAAAAGGATCCAAATATTAAAACTTTTAAAAAGGTAAAGTTTAAGTTGGTACACAGACTGTAAAACAAGCTGAAAGAATAACGAATATTATTGAATTCATTAAATAACAGCGAACATATTAGAAGTTACAGAAGGTGCAAACAAGGAGGAAAAAGGTGCATTAAGAATAAGCAATATATATATATACAGTATATCAAGATAAATAGGATTAAGGTGCAAGTGTACATGTATTGCTCACAATGAAAACAAAAATAAGAAAAATATGTACAATCCAGATGGCTTATATACAGGTGGAGAAATATTGCACTTTCAGCATATTGCACGCACAGGATATTGCACAGTCAATAAATAAGAAACTATAATGTAGCTGCACAGTGGTTTTTACAGGAGTTATCGTGGTTATAGTGCAGTATTATAGAGTCTGGTGGCAGCAGGAATGAATGACCTGTGGTAGCGCTCCTTCTTACAGACAGGGTCTCTGACTTACTCCCAGATTCCACATACTCCGTCAGCGCTCCGCTCCGCTCCGGCCCGCTGACGTACGTCGTGCGGAGCGCTTGTCTTTCATGGAAATCAATGAGAGCTGTTCCACATCCGCCGCTACTCCTCCGCACGTCTCCGTCCACGTACGTCTTCTCTGTCCGTCACCGACAAATTACGGAGCCGAGCTATTTTTTGCTCCGCTCCGGTCCGGCCAGGTCAAGATCCGCAATTGCAATCGCACCAAACAGGAAAAAGAACATCGACAAATTCCGGTTCGTCAAATTAAAATATAGCAGCAACAGATCGGTGACTAGAAATTATAGCACAACTCTTATATATATAAAAAAAAAATAACACAGTTTATTTAAATGATTGGATCCAAACTATTGGTTATTCACCAACCAGGAAGCAGATTTCTCATCTCCATTAAAATATTTATTTTATACCGAGGGACTTAAACTTTAATCAAATCCATTCAAAAGAAACTTCTTATTACAGGAATGAAAAGAGATGCTGAGTTTGGGAGTAGAGAACAAGTTCATTAAAAAAAGCAGTTTTGAATTATCCTTATCCCCGTTACAAAAATCTACAAAAATATATATATATATATATTTGGGCAGAAACTGAACATCTGCTGGATGATGGTGGGAATTTTTTAATATGTCATGTTAAATTAAGCGCTCACAGGGTTCATACAGGAATGAGTGACTCTAAGTTAATGCTATTTTAATGCTATTTTAATGCTATTAGAAATGATTTTGATGCCATCAACAAGAACCATGCACACAAGTTATTAGTGTACATGAAATATGAAGGAGCTGTAAGCAGAGTTCCATGACTCCTGTATGTATGTAAACACACACACACACACATATATACGTATATGTATATCCTCTAGCTTTTTCTCCGCCTCGAGCTTCCTTTCCGAACATGCGGCTTTATGATCATGATGATATAATATATCTGACGAAATTGTTTTTATATATTGTTTTTTTTAAGCATTTTTTATTAAAGAATTATAAATACTTCGATAAACATATTTAAATAATTTTAGTGCCAATTAAGGCCTTGATTTAAAAAAAAAAATGAATGAATTGTAATTATTTTTAATGATCCGCGGAAACCCTGGTTCATCTGGCGCATGCCCTCTACGATCTACAAGGAACTCAGAGCGGAGTGGTCTGGAGCCACAGTGGCGGCTGTAGGCTTTGCTTTGTGCAGGCGGTCTGGAGCACAGCGGGGCGGAGCGGAGCGCTGACGGAGTATGTGGGATTTCGGGGTAAAGGAGCTGCTCAGCTCCTCCACAGTCTGAAGAAAGAAAACCTGCAGCCACACGGCCCTTTCTGGAACCAGTTTGACACTTGTGCTTTAAGTGTTTACATCTGTGCTCATCTAACTGTCAATCAGCAGAAACCGGGCCTCCCAGTCGGAGTACAATTCATTCTGATCCTGCTGAATCCAATCATAATTTGCCAACTTGAATGATGCATTTTTAGTCCGACCAGCCGTTCATTCCAAGTACTTATGGTGTAAAAAAAAATAAAGAAAATAAAAAACAATCCACTGGACTTTGTTTTCCTAGTTTTCAGATTACTCAATAAAACCTAGGTAACTCTATAAAACCTCAAACTCAATGCTATTCCTGACATTTTGAATTGAAAAAGCTTCCTGGATGGGAAGAGAAACGTCTTCAAACTTGGAAACAAATTCTAGTGTTTTGTTTTTAATTTTCGTTTTTTGGAATGACTTTGACCTGGATGACTGAGAATCTTCACCAAATTATGGTGGAAACGTAGGAGGTAAATTGTTCAAATTGAAGAAATTGGTTCTGAAAAGTCCTTAAAAGTTCTTGAATTTGATGTCAACCGAGGTTTGTAAATTCTCTACTTCTAAATGATATGTTGTTTGTTTTATACAAAGAAATGCTGTTTTTTTGTTTTTGTTTTTTTACACAATATCATATAGATGTCTAAAATGGTGAAATATATTTGTTTTTAATGAGACTGCCACACATTGAGCCCCTTGAGGGTTTTTCGGCAGTTGTCCATCACATTTTCTTTTTTAGTGAAACATTATTCTATTTTTATGTTTTTGTTGTGAAAATAAAAAAAATAAAAAAATGATCAGTCAGGTTCTGGGTGCCAGCTTTAACCCTAAACTTAAATGTATTTTGTGCCACAGGAGAGCAGCTGCAGATCAATCAACCGAACGTGTACGACTGCGATGTCCCTGAGTCCTTTGCGTCCTTGGTGCCTGCTCTGGCTGCAGTCTGCAACAAAAACCTTCCATCCACTCAGAGTTTTTCACCCGTAAAAACTGCATCCAACCGCAGCGTGACTCTGACCTCAAAAGGCGGCACCAACTTCATCAACTTCGCCAAAGGAGCAAAGTTTGACGACGGTGATAACCGGTTTCCATCGGCTGCATCCGTTTAAAGAAGTTTGGATGGTTGTGTTTGAACTTGTCCTCTCTCTGCCCCATCAGACCTCTACCACTCCTGGGTGGCGCCCGCCCTCAGGTCCGACCTCCTGGTTCAGTTCTGGGTCCGCTCCACAGGGATCCTCCCCTCGAACTGCTCGCTGGGATGGAAGGTCCTGGACATCAAACTCATCAACCCGGGGCAGACGTTCCCTTTCAAGGCCACCCAGGACCACTCTAAGTGGGCCGTCAGCCCGAAGGCAGCGTCGGACGGGTCACGGGGAGGAGGGGGGGGCTGGGTGTGCGTGGGAGACATAAACAGGAATGAGGCAGAGGAGCGGCGGGGAGGGGGGACGGTGTGTCTTCAGGATCCGGTGGTGTGGAAGGCGTACCGGAGTGCAGCGCTGCAGTGTGAGGCCTGCGGAGGGGGAACGGTCCAGTGTTGACTCGCTGCAGGACGCAGGAGAGTCGACTGAGCTCCTGAAGGGGGGGTGAGGAGGGTGAGGTTAGGAGTCTCTTTTAACAACATTTCTGACTAAACACTCATCGTCCAGTCCTGTTTGGGCCGGATTTAGAGAGTGTGCAGTGCAAGTGGACAGATATTTTTCCCTGGCGGTAACTAGAGCATCTGACAGTCACAACAGGAAGTAAGCAGCAACATGAAAAGTCAGGGTTTCTCTGCCTATTTCTGAAAAATCATGTATGTTTATCAAAGTTTTTTCACTGACAATAAAAAGTAAGAGCGTAAGAAATAATTATATATTCAGATGGAAATACATGGAGGGTTGTTACCCGGGTGATACAACTCAGCGCTCTAGTCTTTAAACCATAAACTGGCTCAGCAAACAGCAGAAAAAGTTTGTTTGTTGTGCTTTTAATCACATTGGGCCGGATCTATCAAAGGAATGCGTGTATAAAAACGTGAGCTATTTCACTGCGCACGCTAAAAAATGTACAAACTGATCTATCAACAGCGTGCTAAAAGGATTCGGTCTTTAAAACGTGCTAAATAGCGCCTCTTATCCATTTAGTACTTTTTCTGCAATGAATATGCAATATGGGGCGTTTACACGCAAAAGTGCGTCTTGTGGGAGGAGAACATGTAAATATATTAATTTAGCACTCGCAAAGTGATTTATTAAACCTGAAAGCAATTTTGCTAACGGTATCTGACTCTATATTTAACACGTTTCAAAGGAAGGTGCAAATGGTCTGTATGCGTAATTGCGCACACATGGCAGCGGTTATTGTCGCAAGAAGGAGACATGGAAATGAAGCAAGGAGACGCAGAGAACGCATTTTTTCACTCCGTGTGAATATTTTTGGAATGAATGAGTAAACGATCATCAAAACATATCGTTTATCCAGCATTGCCATTTTGGAGCTGTTGGGGGAACTCCGAATGGATTTGGAGCCAGCCACAAGGAGGACCCACGCAATACCAGATATCACAAAACTCCTTGCAACATTGCACTTTTTTGCATCTGGGATCTCCCAATCTCATTTTTCAGAAGTGCTTTCCGACGTTCTAAATGTCATGTCGCCCTGACGCCCTACCGGAGAACCCCGACTTCCCACTTTTTTTTTGTTTTTTTTGTTTTTTTTTTTTTTTACTGCAGTGAAGTAGAAATTCAGCCACATACCACCTTAGGGAATAAAGGTTGCCAAAGTTTATATATATATATATATATATATATATATATATATATATATATATATATATATATATATATATTTTTTTTTTTTTTGTTGGAGGGGGTGGGGGTGTCAATGTAAGATTAAAATTTCTTAATTCACTAGTTTGCACAAACTACAAACTACTTTGCGGCAAACCACAAAACGCGCAAAACCATCATTTAAATAGGGCGTCTCCAACAGTTTTGCGCCTGCCACCAGTTACGCAATCGCTCTTGTTAAATCACCCGCAAACCATGGTTCAGCCCCTTGCGCAAAATTCCAGTTTGCGAGCGCAAATTACTGCACGCAAAATTGGATCTTGATAAATCCGGCCCATTATCTGCTTTTATTTCCTGCTGAAATTTGTTTTTATACATTAAAGCCACACAGTAACTTAAAATCCAAATATTAGTGTGATCTTTTTCTTTTAATAATGTCCAAAAAATAATTAAAAAAGGCGGAAACGGCAATACATAATAGCTTGAATAATAAATATCATTCATTTGGGCCCAACTCAACTGAGGTCAACAAAGACTGACCTACTGATAAAGAACAGAGGCTGCTTAAATAGGGGTGGAATAACCTAACCTTGCCACATGAGGGAGGAACAATATAACATAGAAACAACAAATTTAAAAAATCCATACAAAACTAAAACATATTAAACACAATAAAACTACTATTTAACTTAGCGCAAATAATAAGTGAATATTACGGTGACAAAATAACTAAGGTCAATTTAAACAAAATTCCCCCCCCCCAGTTCTTTGGGAAAGTGGTACGTTCCTGGTTTCCACCTCCAGCTGCTCTCACTAGATAACTAGTGTGAGTTAAACCATTCAGACATATTTACTTAAGTGTGCACCCATTAGAAAAATATACATCTAAATGGAATAAAGTAAATCTGGAACTAAATATGAACTATGAAACTATATAAATACTCTGAGGTGGAGGTAGAAGGATCCACCACAATTGGCTTCATTCAGCACTCTGGGTACCGATGCTACCGTTGGGCTGCTCTTTTCAAGATCTTGTCTGATCCGTTGCTGAAGGAGTCATGTGACCCAGAGCGCCACTTTAAAGTTTCAAGTTGAATGTTTAAGATGTGTCTCTGTTCCTGCATACCTAATTAGGGCTCCTCCTCTGCAATCAAGTGCCGCAGAAGCCTGTTAATCACCCATTCTGTTGTGGTGTGATGCAACCAGAGGTGGAAACAGTACTAAGAAATTGTAACTGAGTAAAAGTATCTTTACTTTGCCTAAATTCTACTCAGAGTGAAAGTAAAATTACCCATCTCAAAATTTACTCAAGTAAAAGTACAAAATTACTTCATTTAAAATGTAATTTGAGTAAAAGTTACTTAGTTACTTTGAGTTATTTAATGCAAAAAAAAAAGGATGAGTCATGAAATGAATTGAGCACAAGGTGTTTTAATCTATTTTAAGGCATATTTCAATGGACATCCACACTTGCAAAAGATCAGCTGGGCTAAAGAACATACTTCCTCACAGCACAAGGACAGTCACAACCTGAACCATAAAGTGCAAACTATTTTCAATCCTACTGTCCAACAGACAACACCATGATAACTAACTTACCGCCACATTTTTTCGTAAATTGGATGCTGATGTTTTAAAAGCCGAAAGCCAGTGTTGTGGTCAAGACCACCTAACCCAAGACCAGAGTGTATCGAGACCGAGACAAAACCAAGACTTTTAGGGTCCGAGACCGAGTCAAGACCAAGACCGAGGGAAGTCGAGACCGAGTCAAGACCAAGACCAGAGTGTATCGAGACTGAGACAAGACCAAGACCAGCGCCAGTATGTGACAATAAAATGTGAAACATGATCAAAATCACAAAAATTTATCTAAAAGACCCACATTCACATAAAAACACCTAGATATTTAACACACAGAACTGGACTAAACATTAACATCTTTATTTAGTACTTCTGTGTAGTAATCACAGAATTTCAAACAATTAATCAAAGTCGATCAAAGTTGTATTTTCTCTGCCGTTCATGAACAGTACATATATTGGTATGTTGTTTTTAAATGTGCTATTTCAAAACAATGTGCAAAATTCTGTAAAATGTGTAAAACTGAAAAAAAAGCCAATCATTTCTGTTGTTTCTCATATACAGATTAAAGCTATATTATATAACTTTTCTTAAATAAATCTATATCTGTCACCAAGTTGTGAAAATATGTTATGAGACAGATAATTTGTTGAAAAAATAGATTGATCTCCTTCACTGCGTTAACCAATGAGACAGGTTATTGCTTGGATTTGAATCCAAGCATCCAATAAAAAGAAGGATCTTAAAGAAACTAATAATATTCTGATAATTAGCGTTATTTCCACAGTTGTGGTCCTGATCGGTCTTGAAATAAAATGCGGAGTCCTCAGCGCCCGAGACAAGACCGAGACCAAATGCGGTCAAGTCCGAGACGAGACCGAGACCAAATGCGGTCAAGTCCGAGACGAGACCGAGACCAAATGCGGTCAAGTCCGAGACGAGACCATCAAAAAATGGTCTCAAGGCCAAGACCGATCTCGAGTACTACAACACTGCTGAAAGCTCCGTTTTGCTGGGCAGGCACATGTTGCACTGCATTATCACATTGTTCCTTTTTGTGCATTTGAAAACAAATGATCCAAGGGTTTTTCTGGCTTTCGTCTCCAGAATATGTTTCTTCTTCAGGCCTTTCCTCATCCATACTCCCTAAATTGTGATTAGCAACTGCCATCTTCCGAAGCGCAGCACTGGATAATGAAACAATACAAAGGGTAATTGCAAGGCAGGGCCACATTTAATTTTTTTTCCATCAGTATTTTTTATTTTTTTTACTCAGTAACGTGAGGGGGTTTTAAAGGTAGCAAAGTAAAACTACTTAGGATAAAATTTACTCGAGTAAAAGTAAAATTTACATATTTCAAAAACTACTCATAAAAAAGTACTCAATTACAGTAACTTGAGTAAATGTAATTCATTACTTCCCCCCACCTGGATGCAAAAAGGCGATTCTTTAAACACCCTAAGCTGATCGGACAAATTTCTTCATCTCAGATGCAGGATTTAATCTAGAAGCCTGAATAAAGCCTTGAATTTACAGGAACCTCCGTAACTTCTCAATTATTTTCAGATGAATTGGACCCAGTAGAACTGAAGATGGAGGGTAGAATAGAAATGTCCTGTAATGTTTCACAGAGGGGTAATTCAGGTATGCAGGAAAAGCTTCAGGAATTACAGTAAAAGAAGTCCAGATGCTTTTAAATGAATTGTTTTAAGCCATTCAAGCATTTAAATTTAAACACTGTAGAATAAAAAGGCCTCCTCTGTTGGGTAGTTTAGATTCCCTGCAGCCTTAAATAATTTACATCACCTATAAACTACAGTAAGAGTTGTTTACATTTCCTTACCTTGCCTCCTTAATCTGTAACTCTTAAAGTGCTTTGAGTTGGCAGAAATTATTTATTATTTAAACATTACACTCAACAGCAGCAAACACGTTTATAATCCAGTTCCTCCCACATTTTTTCCTTTATTTTACCACAACATGAAAAGGTTTCTGATTTGAATGCATTTAATGGAAGAACTAAATATGCAGGGAATTTGGTAAACTAATTCCTTACATCAGAAATGCTGCTCAAATGAACAATAAGAGTAATTTAAGGTAACTGCAGATTAGATTCACAAGGACAGAAGAACATTGAGTGGGAATATGGAGTAAATCTTGTTACAATATTGTAGAAAAATAACTTTTTGTTGGAAATGGAAATATAAAATGAAATTAAAAAAAATGTCATTCGGAAAATCAAAGTTTGAAAAATGTTTTAATTGAGAAGGGTTTTGAGAGCAACTTGGCTTATTTCTCAGATTCGATTTTTTCAGTTTTGTATTTTTTTGTTTATTTTCAAATCCTTGTTTGTTTTTTTTTCCAGATTTTATGTTTTTAATATTTAATGTAACAAATTGTGTTCTTTTGAAAATGTATTTTAAAGGTCAAATTGTCTTCACTATTCTCATTAGTGAGGAGTGAAGACGCATTTCTATTGGTCTGCTGGATGTAGGGAACAACATTTTATTGGTCAAGAATGAATGTTTGTATTGGGATGTAAGTGAAGAGAATTTGATTTTGAAAAGAACACAATTGGTAAAACTCGATGTAAAAAAAATGTTTTAAAATATAAAATCTGTAAAAAATAAAATCTAGTAAAAGTCAAATGTAAAAATATAGAATCTATGATTTTTTGGGGGGAGAAAACCTTTTCTTAAAGTTTAATTTTTGGATTTGCTTTTAAATTTCCATTTACTTGTTCACCGGTTGCAACAATAATGGAATAATTGCAACATGGAGGTTTTGCTTACAGTCAGAGACAGATTAATATTATGCTTTCAGAAAAACAGAAGTGTTTTTTATTCTGATCTTTGGACTTCAGTCAAATGGAGCACTATGCAGGAGAACAAAGTTGTAAAATAGGACTTAAAGCTGTAGAGGTTTGGAGATAAATTGTAGTTTTAAAAGGGAACAAAAGCCCTAAAGGTGCCTCTTTATAAATAAAAATGTGATCGTTCAAGTGTTTTTCCACAGCTGCTGAAACTAAAGGGACTCTCCTGAAAAGATGAGGCAGATTTTCATGCATGCAGGGCTGTTCTCTGGAGGCGGGGCATAATTCTGCTTCTTAAAAAGATGTGGATTCTTTATTTCATAATTTTTTTTTAGTTCTGGGAATGTTCAGGTTTAATGATTTTCTTTTACCTCTATAAAACTACTTTATTATAATATAATTGAACTTTATTGATCTCACAATGGAGAAATTTACCCCTGCATTTAACCCATCCCCTTGGGGAGCAGTGGGCTGCCATTATTCGGGACCAGTGTGGGGTTATGGGTCTTGCTCAGGGACCCAGAGTGGCAGTCTGTGGGAGTGGGGCTCAAACTCAGAACTTCAGGATTCCAAGCTCTATGCCCTATCCACTAGACCACCATCCTCCACCCCCAGGCCAACGCTGATATTTCTGATAAAGATGCTGACTGCTGTTAATTTGACAAAAAAAAAAAAAAAACTGCAGCCAAGGTGTTTATTGAAATATCAAATATCATGTTATGCATAGAGATCATTTTATTGCCTCTTGTTAAATAAATCGAAACACCATAAATAACACCCAAAGGCAGGAAAATCCTTATAAAAGTAAGTTTATTTCCACAAAATAGGACATCTGACATGTAGTGCATAAATAAGTTTGATGTGAAACTGATCAGCACTGCAGGAGGCTGGGTTTCCTCCTCCTGTGCCTTATGAATACATTCCCATGTGAAAGGCGAGCACCGAGCAGAAAAAAGGCACTAAAACAGTTCTTAGCAACAGCATCACACTCCAACATGTCATCTAGTATTACCCAGAATCCTCTCCCTGGCCCCCACGGCACTTCCTGGCCCTCAGCCAATCAGAGGCGACGAGGAAGAGCTGCCTGGCCACCAGGGGTCACCGGACTGGTTTCAAAGCAGCTCAGGTTTTCACTGTGCAGTTAGCGAGTTTGTAGAAAAATCTCAGGAAACGTCCAGAGAAGCTACCAAGCCATCCAGATAAAACCAACAGAATCAGAGGAGAACCAACCTGGAACACCTTTATGCTCAAACATGCCAGTGAATTTTGTTTCTGTAATTTATTTTTAAGTTTTAAACTGAGAAACCGAAGCAAAGCAAGACGTTTTTTAAAGTGCTTGAAGTGGCTTTAAAGCTGCAATAACTTTTTGTTTTATTAGAATTTGGAGACATTTGAAGTTCAGTTTTGTACTAATTCATCCATCTGCTTCATACAAGAGTATGCAAAAGTTTAAATCTTATTTTTTCCTTCCAAGCAGCCAGATCTCACAGGAATATTTGAATAAATCCAACATATTAGATAAAGCTCAGAGGCTCCCTGCTGATTCAGCTGGAAATAGATTTACTCAGGCGACTCAGGGAGCATCATTAAAAGGAATCCATGATCAGTTGGAACAATATATATTACTTGAAATATATTTTGTTATTTAAAACCATTAAATTATAAATACTCTAATCTGTCTAGCTTGAATAAATCCAAATTTAATATTGTCACAAGGACGTTGTCATGTTCTTTATGCTGCAAAGCATTCTGGGTATATGACATATGCTAGGTGTTGTAGCGCTAGCTCCATGCAGCTAAAACAATAAAAAGTGACGTTAAACTTTTTCAGTTTGAACTTGAGTGCTTTAAAATTGTAGAAATCACAAGGGGTGATGAAGATGAGTAGAAACAAACAGAGGAGGAAGCTAGGGTTTGAGAAAGTTGCTGCTAGGAAATGCTAACCCAGATGTAGAGCTATGCTACAAAGAGCTCCAGTTTCTGTCTGAAGCTATTTAGAGTTAGCCTCGTGAGACCATCCTGATCTCGCGAGCTTTCAAGGTTTCACTCGCAGATCAGTCTGGCTACTCTCCGTTAAAGAAAATTTGGAGCAGTTCACCAAACAAACATCCAATCAGCGTTGGCTTTGAGGCGGGTTGAGGTGTGACGCAACGAAAAGCGCGACAGTTCAGTCTAAAGAACATGGCAGCTTCAGCCGATGAAACTAGCGTTAGCGTGGCTATCGAGCAAGTTTTATCGAAATTACAGAGTATTTCTTCACTGGAAGAAGAGCAAAACACTGCTCTGGAGGCTTTTCTCAGAGGAAAAGATATTTTTGCTCTTCTCCCGACTGGTTTCGGCAAGAGTTTGATCTATCAATTGGCTCCTCTTCGTCGTCGCTCTGTTATGTCATATGCTTCGTTGATCTGATTGGTTTATTTGGCCCGTCTATCACCAACATAGGCCAATCAGCTAACCAGTATTTTCGCCCCTTCCCAAAATTACTTCTACGGAAGGTTTCCAGATGGATATGCGGAGCAAATCCATCTGGCGGAGTCAGGTTATCAAAAATACAGCATTCGTTAAAATGTTGTGTGCGCAGGTGTTTCTGCAAGTTGGATGTATTTCCTCCCACGGATGTTATGGCCACTTTGCAATGATTGCAAAGCGCCTTGTTGCCATCTTTCTCTTCTTTAAAATAAGCCAAATTTTACCATTTTTTTTATTTTGATTTTCTAGACTGTTCATGTCATACTTGCTTACTGAATGCCGTGTGCGTAACTTGCCTAAAAATGATGACATAAGTCGTGCTGCCTGGAATCGATAAGACAATCGTTAAATGAGCTGCCAAACGGCGCCATGGAATTGGAACACACGGAACCGGTTCTGAACCGGAACTAGTTTTCGATTCCCATCCCTAGATATAACTAAGGATATCTAATAGGGGGTTTTCAGTGACGTCACTGGCCAGCTTCCGGTCCACCATCTTGGGTGGCATATTATCGTATATCATATATATCATGTCGCGAATGGATAAGTACGCCAGCACGCTAGAGCCACCAGATCATGGAACATATCTGAGGAAATGTTCCGTGATCGACCATATGGACCCCTATGCCCTCCACGGTGCCTTGTTTAGCACTAATCCAGATGATTGGCCAAAGGTAGAGCACAGCGACATAGTTCATTACCCGGTGTTCAGTGAAAACCCTCTGCACACTCTTGAGGAAATGAGAGCGTACAAGGGTCTAGAGGCTCACAACCAGTTCACATCTGGTTGGGTACGAGATGTCGAAGTGATGTACATGAAGGAAATCGCCATCATACGTGGACGGTTGAGTTTTAATAAGATGGTAAAAATGTAAACAATCCGACGCAGGGCTCGCTATGCTAGGTGGCTAACGGCCGGCGGTGCGCGAACAGTTCCAAAGCTACAAGTCCTTGGAGTCTCATGTGCAGTTTACGAATGGATGGGTTCAGGAGCTGCAGCTCATAAAGCCAGCAAACAGTGCTAACCGTTAGTGCTAACAACCACTCAGGCATGTAATGTACTTTTAACTAGCTGCTATGTGTTTCAAAGGTTTGGTTAGTAACGTTAACTGCCAAACCTCCCTAAACCCTCCGGGTTTCTCACATATTTGAGCCTTTTCCCGTTGGTTGAAATCAAGTTAAGGTGAAATTAATCAAATTAAAACACGGCTGAGAGAGGGAGTCCAGTACGCGGTAGTCATAGGCAGTAGTCTGAGTAGCGGCGGCGGAGGCAGTCAACATTGCGGCCACGGAAAGTAATATGTCATGACGCCCAAGCCCTATTATTAATATATTCTTACATGTTTTAAATGCTTGACAGTTAATTACCTGTGAAGAAGTGAGCACTGGAGACTCTGGCGTATTCCAGCTTAACACCGTCCAAATCGGACCTGGATATCCGTGTCAGCCATAGGTGACGGCGTTGTTCAGATAGCTGTTTTGTTTTTTCACATTGATTCACGATTACGGCTGGTATGCGATAGAAAGAGCGTTGATCTCCACCTCCACGGGCCGTGCAACCAACAATTACACACGATTTCACCATTTTTCACTGTCAATACTGCCTAAGGCTGCCACCCAATATGGCGGATGCGCTGAGTAGTCACGTGAGCGTGACGTCACCTGAAAACCCCCTATTAATCTTTTTCCCAAAATAGAGCTGATCATAATTTTTACATTTCAGAAAGAGTTTAAGTTTGTACCAATGACATCATATTTAGACCAACGTGTTCAACTAGTCATGGATCCCGTCTGTGGCTAAAGAACTCAATGACAGAGATAAGCGGCTTAAGAAACCAAGAACCTAAAAAATAATAATTATAAGAACAAATAAAAACCAATGAAAAGTTTTACAAAAAAAAAAAATAATGTAGTAAAATATAGAGATGACTAAAAGATCAGCAGAAAGTCTGATTAGTTTGGAAGGAAAATATGAAGAAATGGTTGATGACTCCTTTTTGCACAGTGGTACAGATGAATAGTTTCCCTCATGTAAATAATGGGTCAGACTCGTTTTAGGTTTACTTTGGCCGACAACAGCTTCAGCTGGCAGAAACGGTCATAAACATCCTGCTGATGAGATGAATGCAGCTAAACGAGCCGATCAAATAAGTAAAACCCAAAACTATGTGTCCAGACGGACTCCAAAACAATGAGATGAGCTGCAGAGTTGGTAACATTCATCTATGGAAGCCGCCATCACTGTTCAAATAGACATAAGATCATTGCAGCTCAATGTTTATGTTGAAATGAAAACATAATTAAATTCTTTGGAGCTCTCTTGAATCCACCAGGTATCCATAAATAGTTTTTCCTCTGATGAATTAGGAACCTGTCATATCACACAGACAAAGAATATAAATATAAACAATAAAAATCTTCAGTGTTTTGCTACACATCTGTGCTTGGAAATCCTGCTTGCCGATTGAAAATAAAAAAGCTTTGACAGGACAGAAGCACTTAATTATCTCAGTTAGACCTTTTCCCCTCTTTGTCAAAATTAGTGACGCACATTGGTTAGTAACTGCAGAACTGGCACGGGTTCTCAGCAGCAGATGGCTCCTGCATTAACATTCCAGTCGACTTGTCCTTGGTGGTTTGTTTTTTGCAGAACAGACTTGGTCGGGAAAACGAGGGAAGGCATGTTTAGATTTCTCTAGTTTTTGCACAGGAAAAAAAATGTCACACATTTAAAGAGAAAAGAAAAAAAAAAACTGCCACTGAGGACAAAGCTTGTGTCAAAACAAATTCCGGACCAATCTCCTTCCTTTGGCCTTGATACGAGGAAAAGTGGCGCTCGTCTCTGTGGTGATGGGCTGTGAGCTGAGAGGCGTGTTCCCGCTTTTCCTCCTCAACAGGAAGTCAACGCTGGATGACGTCATAGCGTAGAACACGTTTCCTTTGGCAGGGATGACCAGTTCTGCATAAAAAGCAGAGAGACAAAAAGTTTCTAACTGCTAACATAAGAACCGTGATGGATGTTCAATGCTGTAGCAGAAAGCAGCTCATTCATGTGAGACAAATGCATCTAGCCCTGCCCCCGGGAATTGTTCCATATTTAGAAATTGAAATAACTGTCCCGTATTTAGTGGAAAAGGAATGCATTTTGTCCCATTTTACTGTGAGAGTAAAAAAAAAAAAAACTCAGCAAAAAGCTAATAGAAAATAAAGAACACGGGCACGTTAGATACAAAACTTACGGTAAACTTGTTCCCGTCACTGTCCTGCGTTGTGACCAATGAGCTGACAACATATATGTAATGATGCAGAATCCCCTCATCCCATTGGTCGAGCTTAGTGTTGCTCACGAAGAAGATAGCGGAGACAATAATGCAGTATGGGGGACGAACGGAGTAATTTAAATGCTGCAAGAGCATACAAGAAGAAATAATAGACTATCGCTACATAATGTGGCATTGAGCTAAAGATTTTTTTTGTTCTGTTTTACAACTGTAGCCTAAAGTCATTGCATTTAAGGCAAAGATATGTTTACAAGTTTGCACAAGTTGCTGTTGCACCAACAATGTGCACTGTTTATTTATTGTTTTAGTTTGAAGTTACACAGGACAGGCTTATCTTTAAGATACTTTTTTTATTCAACAAAGTTTGTTATTTTGTATTAAAGTGAAATGCTGGATAATATTTTGTTTTCCATGTGTTCATGTAGGGTGGCCCAGAGGTGTCACCACTAATACAAAAGCCGTAACACAAATACAAGAGCCGCAACACAAATACAAGAGCCGCAACACAATTACAAAAGCCGCAACACAATTACAAGAGCCGCAACACAATTACAAGTTCCGCAACACAATTACAAGAGCCGCAACACAAATACAAGAGCCGCAACACAAATACAAGAGCCGCAACACAATTACAAGAGCCGCAACACAATTACAAAAGCCGCAACACAAATACAAGAGCCGCAACACAATTACAAAAGCCGCAACACAATTACAAAAGCCGCAACACAAATACAAGAGCCGCAACACAATTACAAGAGCCGCAACACAAATACAAGAGCCGCAACACAATTACAAGAGCCGCAACACAAATACAAGAGCCGCAACACAATTACAAGAGCCGCAACACAAATACAAGAGCCGCAACACAATTACAAGAGCCGCAACACAAATACAAGAGCGCAACAGCTTGTTTTCTAAACAAAAAAGTAGCTTTGATAAGTTCGATCTTTTATGGCTTTCTTTGCAGTCTTTCTGAGGGTTTTAATTTGTTTATATCGATTTCAAAAATGATATTGTATCGCCGGAAAAAAAAAAATGATACCATGATAAGGTTTGATATATCATCCAGCCCCAGTCAAGCTATTAAAAACTACAAGAACTGAAAGAGGGTTTTCTTTCAGCTCCCAAAAGGTCTCAACCTTTTTTTTCGTACCTTTTCCTTCAGGCAGAAGTTGTATCAGCTCATATCTGGAGGCCTGTTTGGGGTCCTGGTTGTGTTTCTCCAACGCAACGCTGATCACAGCGGGGGTCTTGTCATTGCTCGTCACCTGAGAAGGTTAAAAAAAAAAAGAGCAACTGTGAGATCAGAAGAGCTTTGCACTAATGATACAGCAGCTCTGCTGAGGATCTGATCTAATGACTATCATTACAGGGAAAGCTTTAAGTGCAGCTTTGAGATAAATCAGCCTCTGCCACCGTACTGCTGACATGTAATAAAGGTTCAATGTTTATGATTTTCACCATTATGCTTCGATACAGGTTTCCATCCTGCAGGTCCATCCGGATCCGGATGATCTGCATGTCGGGCCCCGACCCTGGAACGTTATTGGGGAGGTTGTTGCCGCAGGAGGCTGATCTGCGGTGGGATTTCGTGGGACTGGATGGAGTCAGCGCGACGGGGGTGGACTCATTGGTTGGAGGGGAAGTGTCGACATCCAGACAGGACACCGACGGAGATCTCATGTGCTGCAGACATAAATAACTGTAATCTCAGTAATGGTAAGGGGACATTTTTCAAAATAAAAATGTGAAGAAAACAGTCAGCTCCGAATGAAGTATCTGTGAAATGAGCTCATATAAATGCAAACTTGACCTTTTGGAATAATAAGCTTTGGAGTGTTACCTTTGTGAGTTTAGAGAGAAAGTTATTCACTGGAGAATGAAAGTAAAAGAGGCTGTCGCCATCACCAGCTAGGCTGGTTCGGGAGGTACTCAGGCTGTGAACAAGGACAAACACAGAGAGGTGGAAAACATTACGTTAATTAAAAAAAAATACATTTAGTTTATCAAAAATAATCAGAAATACATACAAGTAAAATCAGATTTAATCAGATTTAAGAAGAAGCTAATTCTAGCAGCTTGTTTGTAAAGGTTTAGCCCCTGTCACACCTTGCTGATTTAGCCAGCCTATGCCTGACATCCCAGGATCTAAAACGCAGGCATACGCTGAGCTTTCTATGTATTTTTTCAATTTTGGGCGTATACATGGAGTATTCATAACGAGTCCAGAACTCGTGTCCAGCTATATATGTGTATATACGTATATATATATATATATATATATATATATATATATATATATATATATATATATATATATATATTAGTGCTGTCAAAATTATCGCGTTATTATCGCGTTAACGCGAGGCCATTTTAACGGCGATAATTTTTTTAACGTGAGATTAACGCTATGTGGTTTTATGGTACAACTTTCTAGAGCATAGACTACCTCCATCTAGTGATGTCGGTCTATTGATTTTGATGTATTGATTGAAAATTGTTCATTATTATCTTGGTTAATTAACATCTAATGTTAACTGTACTACATTTTATAGCAGTAGGGTAAAATGCTTGTCTTTGTTCAAAAGACTGTATTAACTGTAAAGACTGTCTTTTACATCAGCCTGTTTTCAGGGCCTTTTTTTTGGCTACATATTTGTTATTTTTTGCTACATGCCTCCCCATCTTCTTGCCATATGTTTCTATGGCATAAATCAGTGTCTGTGACCTGTTTTCATTTTAAAAAAAGAACATTGGCACAAACCTAGCCTGTATGTATTTTTTGTATGTCATCGAGAGTATTTAAATGATTTTCAATCAGAAAAAAAATTTGCGATTAAAATGCGATTAATCGCGAGTTAACTCAGGCATTGATGCGATTAATCGCGATTAAAAAAATTTAATCGATTGACAGCACTAATATATATATATATATCCATCCATCCATCCATTTTCTTTACACGCTTTTCCCAAGTGGGGTCACGAGGGGTGCTGGTGCCTATCTCCAGCAGTCAATGGGCGAGAGGCGGGGTACACCCTGGACAGGTCACCAGTCCATCGCAGGGCAAAACACTGCACACACTCACACCTAAGGACAATTTAGAAAAGCCAATTAACCTAACAGTCATGTTTTTGGACTGTGGGAGGAAGCCGGAGTACCCGGAGTGAACCCACGCATGCTCAGGGAGAACATGCAAACTCCATGCAGAAAGACCCCAGGCCAGGAATCGAACCCAGAACCTTCTTGCTGCAAGGCATATATATATATATATATATATATATATATATATATATATATATATATATATATTAGTGCTGTCAGTTAAACGCGTTATTAACGGCGTTAACGTAAACCCAATTTAACGGCGTCAATTTTTGTATCGTGTGATTAACGTTCTTTTTGGCCTAACACACTTTGTAGTTTTTTCACATGCTGTTGCAACAACTAGTAACGTTAGAAAAACTACAACACCACTCCGGATCTAGTTAGACCGGAAACAAAACATCAGGCACGCTGCAACCTCACTTGGGCGATGAAAAGAGTTGACGCTGCATTTTGAGTGGATGGCTAGCGTGAGACGCCGAAATGGATGCCGATAGTATTCTGAATGGAAAGTTTTCTTTTAAAAAGTTGCCAAATGGTTCCATTGACAAGACCAAAGTCATCTGTGTGTTTTGTCGTTGTGAACTGAGCTATCATCGCAGCACGACCAGTCTGAAATACCATTTAATGGCCAAGCACTCAGCTGATTTGAATTCTCCGCCCCCTCGTCAAAGCCAGGTAACAATGGATGATTTCAGACAGAAGCGCATGGATACTTTAACTAAGAATAAACTTACTGCAGCCATAGCTAAATGGGTGGCTACTGCATGTAGGCCTGTTAACGTTGTGGAGGACGAGGGTCTCGCGAATATTGTACGGACCGCAGCCAACGACTGGAACTACGAATTGCCTTCGAGAGCCACCATTACAAGCCACATACTGAAATTGCACGAAACGGAAAAGGCTAAGTTACAGCAGGCGTTGGAGAAAACAAAAGTAGTCGCGCTCACTGGTGATTACTGGACGTCCATCAGTAATCACAACTATCTCGGGGTCACAGCCCATTACTTTGATCCACAGTGGAAACTTCAGTCGCATGCTTTGACTGTTGTAAAGACAGAAGAGAGGCACTTCGCTGACGCTGTTGCAGAGCACTTTATGCAAGTTGCTAGAGAGTGGGACATCGAACAGAAAGTTGTCTCACTGACCACGGATAGTGCACGCAACATGATTGCAGCGGCCAGGCAGCTCCCCTTTGAGCACATGCCGTGCATCGCACACAGTGTGCACCGAGCCGTCACGGTTTCTCTAACCAACAGCCCGTTTGACAACGCATTGGCGAAATGCAGAAAGGTTGTGGGGCATTTCAAGCACAGCCCAGCAAACCAAGCACAGCTTGAGCAGCAACAAGTCGCACACCATCAGAAGAAAGAGTCACTCGTACAGGAAGTGTCAACGAGATGGAATAGTACACTGGAAATGATCAAGCGTGTTCAGCGGAATGCTGAACCTCTGAGAGATGCACTGGCCCTGCACGCAACGAACGTCGCCATGCCAACAGCTACTGAGCTGGAGAAACTGAAGAAGCTCGAGGCTGTGCTGGAGCACTGCAGGTAATTTATTGTGTATCTGTGTTGTGTGTCTGTTTGTTTAATAATCAAAGTAGGTCTGTGTCAGAACAGTAACTAATTGGGTGTGTGTTTTTGTGCGGGTAGGCTAAGAGAGAGAGAGAGAGCGCACGAGAGAAAGTGAGAGAGAGAGAGAAAAAAAAAACACTGAGTGAATTACAGTAGGCCTAACTAATTACCCACTAAAGTGCTTCTTTATATTATTGCAGGTATGTGTCAGAACTTCTGGGAGGAGAGAAGTTTGTGTCTTGCTCAGTGGTGCTGCCAACGTTGTGTCATCTGTCGCGAGTGATGGAAGTTACTGAAGATGACCCAGCTTACATGATCAACTTCAAGGGAACCTTCGCAGCAGAAATGGACGGTCGCAAGGAGAAGACCAACATCACATGACTGAGAGTTGCTACAGCACTTGACCCAAGGTCAGAATGCCATGCTTCATATTTACACTCATCCTCATCCCCAGCATTGTGTTTCTCTCAGTATGTTTGTTTTGTTAGTTTGCTTGCTTCTTTGCTTTGCATTTTTGAATTTTGCACTGTAGAGATAGGGATATTGTCACAATTTTGTTATACCTGTTCTTGTATTAAAGTTTGATTTCATTTCATTTCAAGGTTTAAGGACCTTAAGTGTCTGAGCAAACCTGACAGGGCTGAGGTGTGGAGAATGATCCGTGCCTTGCTCCAGGAGATGGAGAGTGAGAGGCCTGCACAGCCGGATATCCAAATCACGCCTGAGCCTCCTAAGAAGAAACCAACTCTCATGCTTGCACATGAGTCTTCGTCTGATGAAGAGGAGGACAGTATTGAGCAATGTCTGGAGCGCTACAAGGCAGAGCCTCTTATTGGCATGGATGACTGTCCCCAGGAATGGTGGTCTACACATGAAGGGGCACACAGTGAAATGGCCCGCCTTGCACGCAAGTACTTGGCAACACCGGCTACATCAGTACCCTCTGAAAGGTTGTTTTCACTGTCTGGGTATGTTGTGCAAAAGAAGCGAGCTTCCTTGTTGCCTGAAAATGTCAACAGGCTTGTCTGTTTGAGTAACTGGCTCAAAGCAAAGTAGTTATAGCCTTACCTTTTATTGGTAACCGTTACTGTTCTTTCTTTATGAAATAAGAGGCTGAGTTCTGGCAAATAAAGAGTAGTAGCCTGACTGCTATGTTCAAAGCAAACTTGAGAAAAATATTAAGCCATGGTTTAACTGCACTATAGGCTGAGTCCTAGTTTACATTACATGTGCACTTTGTAATTTAATTTTGTATCGCCCTGTTTTGATCCCTAGGGCTGTTGAACGGGCTGTTTCTGTTTCTATTTTTTTCACTCTTTTACTAATGGACAGTGTATTACATTGTGTGAGAGATTACTGCTCCAAGTGAAAATGTTAGAGTGAAATTGAACACTACAGTATGCCAATGTTGTTTTCAATAAAAAACATTTGCATAAAGCAACCCAATCTACTTTTTCATATTCATAAGAGCATTAAAATGAGAAAAAATTATGTGACAAAGAAATCAAGGGACATTTAGAATAGATAAAAATGTGCGATTAATTGCAAGTTAACTATGACATTAATGTGATTAATCGTGATTAAATATTTTAATCGTCTGACAGCTCTAATATATATATATATATATATATATATATATATATATATATATATATATATACTGGAACAAGACATAGATGGACTAGAGCAGAAAACTTGGTACTGATGAAATGCTACTATACAAGCGTCCCCAGTGAGAGAGGTTACATGCAGAGACTATGGGAATTATGGCGGCTCCAACAACCATTGTCATCATTGACAAAGAAACAACTACTAACTCAGTGTTCTAACATCCGCAAACGGCAGCTCCTATCACAGCTAGAAATTGACGAGGTACAACTGACATGCTGCAGCAAGGGGGAGTCAGGACAACAGGTCAGTAGGGAAATATCATCAACCCAACACAAAGAGACTGGGTCCCCAGCCCCAACAACAACAAGGCCACTAAACGTGAGGGCAACTGACCTGCGACAGCAGATCATAACGAAACTGGATCCCCTAGTACGACGACCAAGACTGCCAAGGCTTAGTGACAGAGTACCCTCTGAAAGTCTTCTAGAAGATGTAAATGCAGCACTACATACTATCCCTACTAAAGATATAACTGAGACCAATGAGCTGACCTACGCCACAGCTACAGTGATCCTAGAGATGCTTGGCTATAAGATAAACACCACAGGCCACAAAGCAGAGCCCCCATGGAGAAGGCTGGAAGCCAAGATCAAGGCAACACGAAGAGAGGTTAGTCAGCTCTCAGACCTGCAGAAAGGTGTAGGGAAGAAGTTACCTAAGTACAACAAGCTGTCGATTCCTGAGGCTCTAGAAACTGCCAAACAAAGACTCGCCGCTCTGGCCACCCGCCTAAAGAGATACAAGGGAGAAGCAGAAGCCAGGAGAATAAACCAGGTGTTCTCCACCAACCCATCCAAAGTGTACTCACAGTGGCAGGGTAATTCAAGATCAGATCCACCCAGGGCTGAGACTGAACAGTACTGGAGAAACATATGGGAGAAGGAGGCATCCCACAACACCAATGCTCAGTGGCTAGAAGATCTAAGAACAGATCACAGCAATCTCCCAGAACAAGAACCAGTAACCGTTACAACGGCAGATGTCCAAGAAAGAGCGGCAGGTATGAAGAGCTGGACAGCACCAGGCCCTGACATGATCCACACCTACTGGCTGAAAAAACTAACCGCACTTCATGCACGCCTCGCAGCACAAATGAACCAACTGCTGATGGATGGGACCCACCCAGAATGGTTAACCCAAGGACGGACAATCCTGATCATGAAGGATCCGCAGAAGGGAACAACCCCATCCAACTACTGGCCAATAACTTGCCTATGTACAACATGGAAGCTCCTGTCAGGCATCATAGCGGCTAAGATGAATAGGCACATGGCTCAATACATGCACCCTTCCCAGAAGGGAATAGGCAGCAACACCAGAGGAGCCAAACACCAGCTACTAGTGGATAGAGCAGTCACCCGAGACTGTAAGACCAGGCAGACAAATCTGTGCACTGCCTGGATTGACTATAAAAAAGCCTATGATTCAATGCCACATACATGGATACTGGAATGCCTGGAAATGTACAAGATCAACAGGACTCTAATAGCCTTCATCAAGAACCCAATGAAGCTGTGGAAAACAAGTCTGGAAGCCAATGCAAAGCCAATAGCACAAGTCACCATCAAGTGCAGCATATACCAGGGAGATGCACTATCCCCGCTGCTGTTCTGCATAGGCCTGAACCCTCTCAGCCAGATCATCACAAAGACTGGCTACGGATACCAATTCCGAAGCGGAACAATCATCAGTCACCTCCTCTACATGGATGACATCAAGCTGTATGCCAGGAGTGAGCGAGACATCGACTCACTGATCCACACTACCAGGATCTACAGCAACGACATTGGGATGTCATTGGGACTGGACAAGTGCGGTCGCATGGTCTCAAAGAGAGGGAAGATGATCAGAACCGAGGGGGTTGAACTACCAGAAGGCCACATATCAGATGTTCAGGACAGCTACAAATACCTTGGGGTGCCACAGGCTAACGGAAACCATGAGGAGATGGCAAGAAAGACTGCCACAGCTAAATACCTACAAAGAGTAAGGCAGGTCCTGAAAAGTCAGCTGAATGGGAAAAACAAGATCCAAGCGATCAACACATATGCCCTACCAGTCATCAGATACCCCGCTGGCATAATAAACTGGCCAAAGGAGGAGATAGAGGCTACTGACATCAAGACGAGAAAGCTCCTCACAATGCATGGAGGGTTCCACCCCAAATCCAGCACTCTGAGACTGTACACCAAGCGTAGCGAGGGAGGCCGAGGGCTAGTGAGTGTCAAGACCACTGTCCAGGATGAAACAACTAAGATCCAGGAGTACATCAGAAAGATGGCCCCCAAAGACAAATGGCTCGGTGAGTACCTCAGGCAGGAGAAAACCGAAAGTGAGGACAAGAAAGAGGAAGGAGAACCATCATGGAGGGACAAGCCGCTGCACGGCGTATACCACAGACAAATAGAAGAAGTGGCTGATATCAAAAAATCCTACCAGTGGCTGGAAAAGGCTGGACTGAAGGACAGCACAGAGGCACTAATCATGGCAGCACAAGAACAGGCACTCGGTACAAGATCAATAGAGGCCAGGGTCTACCACACCAGGCAGGACCCCCGATGCAGACTGTGTAAAGATGCCTCTGAAACAATACAGCACATAACAGCAGGGTGTAAAATGCAGGCAGGAAGTGCATACATGGAACGCCACAACCAGGTAGCTGTCATAGTGTACAGGAACATCTGCCATGAGTATGGGCTGGAAGTCCCAAGGTCAAAATGGAAGACACCTCCTAAGGTAGTTGAGAATGACCGAGCTAAGATCCTGTGGGACTTCAAGATCCAGACTGACAAACAGGTGATGGCTAACCAACCAGACATCGTGCTGATCGACAAACAGCAGAAGAAGGCAGTAGTGATAGATGTGGCAATCCCAAGCGACAGCAACATCAAGAAGAACGAACACGAGAAGCTTGAGAAATACCAAGGACTGAAGGAGGAGCTAGAAAAGATGTGGAAAGTGAGAGTAGTAGCGGTGCCAGTGGTAATTGGAGCACTGGGGGCTGTGACCCCCAAACTGGGAGAATGGCTACAGCAGATTCCAGGTAAAACATCAGAGGTCTCTGTCCAGAAGAGCGCAGTCCTAGGAACAGCTAAGATACTGCGCAGAACCCTCAAACTCCCAGGCCTCTGGTAGAGGACCCGAGCTTGAGGATGACACATACCACCCCACGAGGGGTGAGACAACAGTTTTTATATATATATATATATATATATATATATATATATATATATATATATATATATATATATATATATATATATATATATATATATATATATATATATATATATATATATATATACGTATATATAGCTGGACATGAGTTCTGGACTCGTTATGAATACTCCATGTATACGCCCAAAATTGAAAAAATACATAGAAAGCTCAGCGTATGCCAGTGTTATATGTATATAACACTGGCATACGCTGCTATATATATCTATATATATATATATATATATATATATATATATATATATATATATATATATATATATAGATATATATATATATATATATATATATATATATATATATCTATATATAGATATATATCTATATCTATATATAGATATATATCTATATATAGATATATATCTATATATATATATAGATATATATATACATATATATATATATATATCTATATATATATAGATATATATACATATATGTATGTGTATTTTCTGTACGTATGTATGTGTGTATATGTGTGAATATGTGTGTATATATATATATATATATAGATAGATAGATAGATAGATAGATAGATAGATAGATAGATAGATAGATAGATAGATAGATAGATAGATAGATAGATAGATAGATAGATAGATAGATAGATAGATAGATAGATAGATAGATAGATAGATAGATAGATAGATAGATACCCCCTGGCTGAAGCCCTTCCAGTGATCAGGGTTTGGACCCGGTCTGACTTACTCTGGGCACTGGGTGATGATGACTGTTGGCATCAGAGATCGAGGACTCGGCTCACTGGGCGCTTCGATCTCATTGGACAGCCTGTAACTACAATTAGACACCAGCCGCTGAAACTAAGCTGAATATTTCAAATCTTGCACACAGATGTGACATGCAACAGGTTTTATTCTAAAAGTGATAATGTCAGTAATTGTAGGTGTATTTGCTCATTCAGGGCGTACCTTTGCTCCTCTGTCAGTGTGGGTACGCTGTGATACCACTGTAAGAAGGTTTCATCAGCGACAAAGACACAGTTTTTGCAGGAAGACTGCAGGAGCCGGATTTGAGCTAAAACCTCAAATTCCTGTTAACAAAGAGCTCTGTCACCACAATGTTTCACAAATAAAAAACAGTCACGTCAGTTGATGCAGAATTACTACAGCTGCTTCTTAATTTCTTCCTCTGATTCCCTTCTCGCAGACTCATTTTTGACTTTTACTCATATTTGTAGAGGAGAAAAGTTTGCTTTCTATATTGCATCACTCACCCTTCTCCTTTTGTCAAAGTTGATGTAGCCATTCTGCAAATGCAGTAAAGGGTATTTTAGGCCAGTTTGCGTGCAGTTACATGGATAGCAGGACGACACAGAGAGATCTACTTACATCCAGCCTGTCTTTGACTGCTGCGTCCAACATGGTGAGGTCTGTGAGGAAGATTCCCAGGTAGGGCACGGTGCCCTGAGCGTTGGACTGGGTTAGGAAAAGAAGAAAGGTATTTTTTATTAGCTCCAAAGAGGTTTTTATTCGCAGCCCAAAGAGCAAAACCGACGGATGAATTTCAGAGCAGCCGCCTGCAGCTGTTTTCAAACAGCGGCTCACAGATCAGCTGAACACACAGAAGAGACAAGACGCCTCCCTGTCTCACTCCTTCCAACAAATCGCTAATCTATCCCCGTTTAACCAAAGAGACATCCCTATGAAAGCATAAGGAAGAATTAATACTGTGACTCTGAGAAGTAGATTCTGCTCCCCGCTTTGTAAACTGTGAAAGTATTTCTCCACCGTGACTTTTCCACACACTGGAAAAACGACCTAGAAATAAGTAAAAAGTTCTTAAATTAAGTGCATTTAACCTTAATTTGAGTAGGTAAATGAGATCATTTATCAATGGAATTAGATTTTTACTCTTAAAATTAGATATTTAGATAAAAGGCACTTGAAATAAGTCAATGCAATTGTGTTTTCTTATTTTAAGTGTAAATAGTCTTGTTCCATTGGCAAATGTCTCTTTTACCTCCTCAATTCAAGAACAAATTCACTTATTTTAAGAAAAAATGACTTATCTAGATTTTGATTTTTTCCAGTGCAGTGTTTGATGTCACCAACCACACTGCAAAAACAATCCAGAAATAAGTAAAAAAATGGCTTAAATTAAGTATATTTAGCCTTTATTTGAGCAGGTAAATAAGATGATTTGCCAATGGAATGAGTATTTTCACTCTTAAAATAAGATAGTTAGATAATATTTACTTGAAACAAGACGATAAAATAGTTTTTTCTTATTTTAAAAGGAAATTGTCTTGTTCCATTGGCAAAGTGTCTCACTTACCTCCTCAAATCAAGGAAAAACGCACTTATTTTAAGAAACATATTGAGATTTGTATTTTTTGCAGTGCATCACAAAGCTTTGCTCGATTGTAAAGAAAGGAAGGAAAAGATGACCTGATGATTATTTCTGTTCTTTTTTTAATATATAAATACATCTGAGAAATGTTGAGCGTAGCAGAACCTGCAGTTATCTGGAGGTACATCTCTATCAGCTTTGCACTGGAAAAGAGTTCAATTTAAATTTCTTCCTACAAATTTTATGTTTATTGGTTGCCTCCTAGAATCCATATTTTTTATTAGTATCTCAGAAGTTACCTTCCCTGATTTGTTATTACAACTTTCTTATCAATTCCTGCTATAAAAGGATGCATGATGTGACCGCTCTGATAGCAATTCAGGGAAATCCAAAATGTCAGACTGTCTTTGCCCGATATGTTGTAGTGTGCGTTGTCAACCCAGTAAAGTGCGTTCAAATCAGATGTGTGAGTTAAGGCCAATTTATGCTTCTGATGCATAGCCTCTGCAACCGTCAAATATGTCTCTGTGCGTGACAACGCCCCCCGCGCAGAGTAGGGGTGGGTATTAGCAGAGAAGTCACGATTCGATTCGAATCACGATTCACATGCCACGATGCGATTCTATCACGATGCATCATGATACTTGAAATATCGCGATGCATTGCGATATTTTCACTGAACACTGTAAGAAAAAGATACAGCCCTTACCAGTGGCTGACTGGCTGGGTATGATCTGGATCGTGTCTTCAATTGATACATAACTGAAAACAACTGAATTCATACATAGCTGTATTTATTGAAACGACTTTTGGAGGTGTTGCCATGAAAACAAATACTGGACAGAAATATTACTATTACTGGCGTGGACACACTGACAAAAAGATCTTAGGATTAACAAAATAAGGATAATCAGTGCCGTTTTCATGGCCTCAGTGGTCCTTTAAACCAATGAAATGAAAACATTCAAATGTATATTTCCCCTTTTGCAAATGACGTGCGTCATATCAATTTCGTTTTTACCTTCTTTGTTTTTAAAGCCAAAATGCATCCAAGCATCTGACTTGAAATGTGATGGAGACGGGTGAATTTTCATAGTGTCCTCCATGTTTTATTTCATATGACTCGTCTCAGTATCCCACGGCCGGAAATGCTTGTGACACAAGGCAGCGGGCATCAACACATCCGCAGCGACATCTGCTGGACTGGAAGTTGTATTCCACTTGGCTTGGCTGATATGCGCCAACCATTAATGTATTTTATTTGTTCATTATTATTATTTTTTTTAATAATCGATTCTTGCTTTCAAGAATTAGAATCACGATGCATCGTCATGATGATTATTTTGCACACCCTTAGCGCAGAGGTTCTGAAACCGTCGTCGCACACCTAAAAAAACTCCTGACTACGCGTCAGACGGTCGCAAACCCGCTCAGACCTCAAGCGAAGTGCGCAGACAAAAAGCAGCTGTGATTGGTCCTTGGTATGCCTTTGCGGCTGTCTGTGTGGTCGTCCTTCTTGATTCGGTGCCGGGGCGCGCCATTTTTAAAAACCGAGGAACAATTAAAAAGGACAATTACGATGAAATGTTAATCGAGGAGGTTCGGAAGTACAAAGACTTGGCAAATTATTTAAAGATGCCAAGGTCTCTGCCGAAACGAAGTTCTCGTGACAATCCGCCGAAGTTCTCGCAAGTTCTCGAATAGGCTCCCCGTTGCGCTTTGGTGGGAAACTGCTGTGCGTCCCTAGAAATTCCAGACCGACGGTGCAGAGGCATACTAGCAAAACTGGTTCGCTATCAGACCCAAGCGACATTTGATCCGGCCGAACATATGGCTTTACGATCAACTGGAAGCAGTTCCGCGCAAACACGCGGAACCAGTTAAATCTGAAATATCTGACAAAAATAAAGCATTTTAAATGCCACGATAATCACAAAATACCAACGGAAACCCTGTATCATTTTCCTTCCCCTTCACAACATTCATAGCTTTTATGTCACAAAATGAGGAAACTGTTTAAAAGGTGTGAATACTTTTAAAGGTACTGCAACATCCATGCTTCTGAACGTCTTTAAATCTACCTGAAGATCATTTTTAAGCACTGAGCTTCTTTCTGTGCATTTTTACAGGCTATTACATCATGCTGAAAATATCCAAAGTCAGCCATGAAGGCCTATGGAGACGGACAGCTCCTCAGGCTAAAATGTTTAGTATTCCATCCAGACATGAGTTTTAAAGCTGGTGAAAATAGTTCAGCCTTATATGCTGTAAATCAAAGGGCTCATTCCAAAGTTACTCCTCAAACGTCTTAGTGAGGCAACCCTGAGAGGATTCAGCCCTGCAGATGTGAACTCAGCCTATCCGTGTGTTTGAAAGGTGCTGCACACTTTCTTCCCCCCACAGCTGACATGTCCAACCAGAACCTCTAAACTGTAAGGAACAACATTCTCTCAGATAGATCAGCCTCGTTTCCTCTTTACTCACCCTGTTGAGGTGTCTGTTGTTCAGCCTGTTGTCACAGTTTGCAAACTTTGATGTGCCCTCCTGTAAGACAAAATAGCGATCCTCTTATCACCTTGGATGGGTCAGAGATAGATAGGGTTCAATCTTTTAAATATTTAGGAATTTTAATTGATGAAAGTCTACATTTTAGACCTCATGTCGAACAATTGATTAAGAAACTCAGACTGAAAATTGGCTTCTTCTTTAGGAATAGGCTTTGTTTCTCCTTTAATTCGAAGAAGAGACTGGTAGCTGCAACGTTTTTACCCATTCTGGACTATGGTGACCCAATCTATATCAATGCCCCAGATCAAGTTCTAAAAATTTTAGACTCAGTTTACCATGCCACCCTACGATTTATCACAAACTGTAAGCCTCGCACACACCACTGTGAACTTTACATACGTGTGGGCTGGCCATCATTAGAGACTCGTAGACTCACTCACTGGTATATGATCATTTATAAGGGTATTCTGTGTCTGCTTCCCTCATACCTTTGTGAGTACATTCAACCAAGAGTGGCTAGACTGTTTTCTCTACGTTCTCATGAGTCTTTGCTTCTGTCTGTACCTAGTGTCCGCACTGAAGCTGGAAAGACAGCTTTTCAGTACTCCGCCCCCACAGCATGGAACAATCTTCAGAAAGACTGGAAGTTGAAGGATTTGATTCCAATCTGACATTTTAAACGATTGCTCAAAGGTTTGGAAATGAGATGTATGGTTTGTAACTGTTTTATGAATTTCTAATTATATATAGATGTAATTGTAAACTGTAATGCAATTTGTAATGTATTCTTTTGCCGCTGTCTTGGCCAGGACTCCCTTGAAAAAGAGATTCTTAATCTCAATGGGACTTTCCCTGGTTAAATAAAGGAATAAAAAAAAAAAAAGACAGGACGAAGGGAAAATTTTCCATTTTCTTAAATTTTCTTAAGCTTCATCACTTAGATCAGGTTGTCTCAGTGTAATATATAAAAAGGCATTCTGTCATTAAACAAACTATCTTTTGGCATATTTGGCATCTTGTAAAAGCTAAAATAATAATAACTGAACTTTATTGATCTCACATTGCAACTTCTGCATTTAACCCATACCTTTTGGGAGCAGTAGGCTGCCATCGTGGGGCGCCCCGTTAAGGGGATAGCTCTTACACACCCAGAGTGGCAGTCAGTGGGAGTGAGTTTTGAACTCACAACCTCAGGATTCAAAGCTGTGTGCCCTAACCACTAGGCTACCACTCCCAAAAAAGCCACAGGGCACAAATATATACAGTGAAGGTTTATTTCTTTTTTGAGATTACTAATCTTAAATTGTTTTTCCTGCTTTTTAGAGGAAATGTTTCTTTCTTTAAAGTTTATTATGGTACCAAAGTGATTGATTAACCCTTTAAAGCCTGATCCAAGAATAAAACAAAACAGAAAATTACTTATTTTTGGTTTGATTTCCTTATTTGGCCTTTTAACGAAATATGTAAAAAGAAAAAACAGAAATACATTTTTGATATTAATAATTTATTACTATGCGATAAGTCAGGATTATTTTTTGTGTAGTCTTCTACTGGCTGTTATCAGGTATATCTGATTGTCTACAATAGGATTGAGCAAAGTTTTTACCATTAAATTATGCAAAAGGTGTCAGATGCAAAACATTTCAGAAACCGTATGTATCAAATACGATACATTTGGCATTATAGGGTTAATGTGCTCCAGCCAATTATATCAGCTTGTAACTTGATTATGATAAAATAACCGACTGCAGATGTACGTTGGGGTCAACTTTTTAGCCTGAGTCATTATAAGTTATTGTAGAGTGTGAATATAAAGTGTGTGAATATCTACAAACATTTTTTTTTATTTTACCTTCTCTTTTTAAACATGTAGTTAACCTTTTGAGATAGATAGAAATTCCTCGATATTTTAAATTCTTCCTACATCACAGGTTGCATCCAGAGCAGAAATGATTTTTAAGAAGAAGAAAAAACTAAAACTACCATAAACATTTGGGTTTTTCTCTATATTTTGCTGAAATACAAGATTTTGCAACACAGGAGAATGTTTTTTTTCTTCTTTTTATTGATTTATTTTTACAAATTAACAGATGGTTTTATTATTAGTCATAGTAAAACTAATGTCAGGTAACCAGCTGTGGCATAAATGAAGTAGGATGAAGGTTCAGTTTTGTAGCCATATCATCTTTTTTTAAAGGGGTTTCGGTCTAGAGAGGCTTGTTAATACAGTTATTCATTCAAAATCTCTTTTTTTTTCTTCAATGAAATCCAACATTAAATCTATTTCATCCCTCTTGTCAATATTTGAAGCATCCATTTTCAGAACAATGCAGAAAATTCTTATGGGCTTCTGCTGCCGGAGGACACACAGTCCAGTTTTCTTACTCTGCTGTTTTTATGGCCTTCCTTTTTCCAGTTAGTCATAGATTGCTATTATTGCTCCCAGTGATACAATTCTGGTTTTAAATCACAAACCATTTTTAGATAGAATAAAATTAGATCAATCTAAATCCACCCGGGTGGGAATAACTTTGAATTTAACTGAAAATATCAAAACCATATTTCAGTGCTTTTATTTATACATTTCTTTTCTATACTGTCATACTTTTCTCAAACTCGGAAATATACTCAAATTAATGGAAATAACTAATGATTGTATTTTAAATGGATCCACATTAAGTTGTAAGAACAGATTTTATTCGAGAAATATTTATTTTTGAAGTAAATACAAAACATTTAAAATACTATTAATTGTTTAATTTGTATAAATTTATATAAGATATTTTCAGAATGACATCACTTGTTTGTTTACCCTGCAATGAATTCTGGGTGAATGAAGTACGCTAGGCCGTGTATTGATGAAAATATATTATACTGTCAGTGATGGCCAAACCCATGGCCACACCTTAAGTCTGGACTATACATGCACCTTTATTTATTTAATCCATACACATACTTTAGTTTGCAATAAAACTTTATTCTTAGTTCAAATGCATGTGTTCTATTTGTAAATGCGCACATTTAGTTCACTGTATTTGTTTGCACTCATTCATATTTCTTTCTGTTTTTGTCACTAATGTTTCTTGCCTATGGTGCCTTGGAGTTTGGTCAGACAAAGATGGCAGCCAGGGTTCAGATCTGCTAAATGCAGGAGGGAAAATTGGACTGTTCCATTGGCTGCACCTTAAAGGGGGGAATTTGAATTTTCCTTTTCAAGTTTTTTGCATCTTTCACTTAGGATTTGTTTGCAGTTGGTGTGTTTTTTTTATTTTTCTAAGATATAGCTTTTTTTTTTTTTTTTTTGCCAAACCTAACTGTACTGCCAATGTTTGTAATTTGTGGTTGTTTGTTTAGTTTGAATTACCCCTATTGTGTTAACGGTCTGATCAGCCAGTGTATATATACTCTTGTGTGTCATTTCTTTGTTAGGTCAGTTATGTTTGTTTATGCAGCCAGTTTGTACGGAAGACGATTAGGGCCACTACAAAAAAAAAATAAAAAATTGTTAACTGATTTTTTTTTATTTTATTTCAGTATAGTATGGGAAAAAAGTCAGAATTCTGACTTTAATCTCAGAATTCTGACTTTTTTCTCAGAATTCTGACTTTTTTTATTGTCAGAATTCAGTAAGATTTCTGAGTTTAAAGTCAGAATTCTGAGATTAAAGTCAGAATTCTGACTTTTTTCCCATACTAAACTGAAATAAAATTTAAAAATCAGTTAACTTTTTTTTTTTTTCAGAGGAGGCCCTAATCCTCTTTCGAAAGTTTGGGCACAGTTTGCTTGAGTTAAATTTTCTCTTTTTGGTTGGCCTCTTTTATGATTTGTATTTTTTGTTAGCTTCTTTTTTGGGTTAAAAATCAAAAACCCTATTTCTGACTCTTAATGCTTTTCATCTTGGTCCCTCACACTGTCACTTTAAACAGTCGTTCATCATCTCCAGATTTGATTTTAATTTCACCGCAGCTTCTGCTAATAGTGTTCTAGCTAGACCTAACACATCAATGGTTGAAAAAAATGGTGACTTCCATAGGGAAAAATATAACAAAGGATGTATACTGGTAATTATTTAAGCAATTATGAGTTTTTATGCATCACATATGAAAACATTGAAGTTAATAGGAAAATTCTAACATTTAGGCTAACATACTGAACTATTCATTGATCCGTTTAATGTTTACTAGCCTCGTGAGACCATCCTGATCTCGCAAGGTTTCACTCGCAGATCAGTCTGGAGACTCTCCGTTAAAGAAAATTTGGAGGCGTTCACCAAACGAACGTCCAATCAGCGTTGGCTTTGAGGCGGGTTGAGGTGTGACGCAACGAGAAGCGTGACAGTTCAGTCTAAAGAACATGGCGGCTTCAGCCGATGAAACTAGCGTTAGCGTGGCTATCGAGCAAGTTTTATCGGAATTACAGAGTATTTCTTCAGTGAAAGAAGAGCAAAACACTGCTCTGGAGGTGCTGATGAAGGTTTTCAGTCATCCAGGTCATAGTCATTCCGTAAAAATTCAAAAATATCCACTGGACTTGGTTTTCAAGATTTGAAGACGTTTCGCCACCTCTCCAGAATTGAGAAAGCTTCCTGGAGAGGTGGCCGAAACGTCTTCAAGTCTTGAAAACCAAGTCCAGTGGATATTTTTGAATTTTTACGGGACTGCTCTGGAGGCTTTTCTCAGAGGAAAAGATTTTTTTGCTCTTCTCCCGACTGGTTTCAGCAAGAGTAGCCTGGCTTGTGGTTGTGTTTTCGTCGTCGCTCTGTTAGTACGTCATATGCTTCGTTGATCTGATTGGTTTATTTCGCCCGTCTATCACCAACATAGGCCAATCAGCTAACCAGTTATTTCCGCCCCTTCCCAAAATTTCTTCAACGGAAGGTTTCCTGATAGATATGCGGAGCAAATCCATCTGGCGGAGTCAGGTTAAATGTTTACTGCAGGAAAAAAATAATTTATAACTAGGCTTTTTACACCTCCCTACAGGGATTCAATTAATCAGAGGTTGCTGCTGGTGCACAAACTGGAAGTTATTATCAGGGGTGTCAAATGCTGGGAAAGTTTTAAGCGTTTGTTTCTATTCACGATTCACACAACTGCAATTTGCAAAAACTATGTTGTCATTTAGCAAAGACCTAAAACAGTGTTTGATGTAATCACTAAAATCCTTTATATGTATTATTTGTTTTTATTTTATTTCCCCACCATCCGGTGACTGCCAAACAGACACCAAAATGTATTATGAATAAGGAGAAGACAAGAATAATTAAGAAGCAATTTAGGTTTCCTTGTGAGGAAATGAAAAGATGAGCAGTGAAAACATCAGACAGCAGCCAGGAGCTCTGATCTCAGTAAAAAATAGCTCTAGAAACTAATTCAGGACTTCACAGACAGAGCCGCTGAGATCTCACTTTCTATCGCCAAACTGCCACTTTGCTAACAGCGCTTCTTAAAATAAACACATCAATTCACAATTGACTGGTTAGTTACATGCTGTGCCATGACCCTGAGTGAGAGCTGCTTCCTGCCTGATCAAATGTCTCACTAAAGCAGAGGAGATTATATCAGCAGTTTTTAGGAGGATTCAGCTTCCCGGGCACACGTAGCGTAATTTATTTCCGCTGTCATTAATGCACTCCTTATTTCAAACAGCAACTCACCTCCTTCAGGAGTTCTCTGCTCTGTGCATAGTTGTCCTTGTCTGAAAATATTTCTGCCAGCTCCTCGTATCTCCTCAAGGCCTCTCTGTGAAAGAAAACAGCCGCCAGTGGAAGATTTATGTGTGTTCTTGAATTATTCAAGGTAGCAAAATGGAAATTGTGCAAGCACAGCTAAAAGTTTCAAAGAGCTGAAGGCACCTTTTAGGGTAAAGTTTCAGCAATTTAAACAAAACGCAGGTTTGAAATACAGGAAATTAGATGCATTGTCATTTTTGTCAAGTAACCAACCCTTTAGAGGAGGTTGTTTGGGGAGAAATAAAACTAATATCCTCTTAAAACCCACCTAATTCAAGTAATCCTCGCCTATTTTGCAAACCCAAATTGAACTGTAATCCCAAATTATATGTTAGATAGCTACACCATTTGAAAGCTAACAGCGTCTAGTTTCTGAAAATATAAATGAAAATAGTGAACTGCATCAGTTCGAACATGACTGAAAGATGCTTTTTTCTTTCTTGAAAATAAGTTTTTTTTTTTTTTAACAGCATTTATAAAGAGTTGAGAATAGGAATGTCTCATTGTATTACATTTCTTCTACATCATCTCAACCACAAATGCAGAAAATGTCAGACCTCTAGCTACAACCGGTCCAGAGCAGTGGGGCTTTAAACTTTTGGTGTCCCATAAATAGACGGCCATTCTAAACTATCACATTGGGAAACATCCCAACCTGGCAACAATGCACGTAAGACGGGAAACGTTAGCCTTTAGATTCAAAACCCCGTCCTGCACTGCAACATATTTTCACAATGCCTCATACCATGAAGCTAAGGCACAACAAATATGTAAAGCATAGAGAACGATATTTAACGCTAATAAAGATTCAATGTTGGTGAACAGTAAATCAAGTTAAAATAAATCTTTCTAAAGTTTGTGAACAGTTAACACTGAGACAGAGTTGGGACAACACCGTTACAGTGTTAGTGTTTGTGTTTTAGGAGGTAAGAGTTCACAGATATTGGAGTTATAGAAGAAACAGATTAGAAAACGCTGACTGGATTCTCCACTTGAACTCCTCCATTCAGACAGTAGGGTCTATTATATAAGGAGTAATGTAATGAAAGTAATTTCTCCCTGCGATTATTTAGGTATTTCTGATTCTAATTCCTGGTTGATGGGACAGGTGTTGTGAATGAAACGGTGTCCAGCTTGAAAGAGCTCCTGTGTGTCGCTGAATGTGTGCATTGATGACTGAAAGACATCTTCTGCCTCCATTTATCTGCTTACTAGTGTGTTGAATTCATGTTAATGTGGATTTAAAGACATTTCAATTAGTAGAAAAAATTGCAGGGGGAATATGAAAAAAAAGTCTAATCAACCAAAACTTTTGCGACCCCCATGCAGTACCTCTGAGGCCCCCCTAGGGGTCGCGGACCCCCTGTTGAAGACCTCCAGAGTATTCCAGTGGCCTCCACAGCCACCAGATCTCAGTCCGGTAGAGCATTTTAGGAAGTGTGGATCAGGAGGTTCTCTTCTCATACTTGATGCCTTTTACCTCCTGTTATTAATAGTCTCTAGATAATAATAAATTGTTACCTTTTCATTTATTGGGGGATTAATAATTAACAAACACTGTTTATCTGACTGTTTATCACAGTCAGATAAACACATCAAAATAACAATTTGCCAAATAGAACAAAAAACTAGCTATCAGAGCCAGCGGTCTTTCACACACTGCTATGCGGAGAGAGGGCTGCTGCAGACGGCTAACGTTAGCCCTGGCTGCCGTTAGCCTCAGAGGTCCTTCTGGTTGCTGCGTTCCTCTCAACTTCAGAAATTAATTTTTGCATTACGCATTAAATTGGTAAATGGGCCATATAGTGACACCTAAAAGTGTCGCTCCAAATGATCCTAAAATTTACTTTTATGCCCTGGAAGCTGCAGCTGCTGTAGTGCATGCTGGGAAAGCTGTCAATCTCAAGAACGGACAAGTCTGCTCTGATGCATGCTGGGTGAAGAGGGAGGGGCGAGAGCAACATCCGGGGACTTTGTCTGTTCTCAGTCTGCTTTTCTTGTGAATTGGAACAGTACTAGGGCTGAGGCTGATGACGTTTCACGAGTACACAAGGACATGAGAATGCACAAGTACACATATTGAGAAACAACCTATGCCTCCTGCAAAAAAACCCCCAAATCAAACTAAATAAATGAGTATTAAAGTAGATGGGGTTTAATAAACTTTCCAGAGTATCAGTTCATCTGTGAAGTTCTCCTACAAACCGCCACACACCTGTCAGTTTCCTGCCAAGTCCTCCTCAGCCTGTGGATGGGGTTACTCTGCAGCGCGGACACAATGGCGTACAGGGAGGAGAAATTCTTCCTGGCTCTGCATTCCTGTTCAAAGCACACAAAACCGGAGTGAAGAAAGGTCTTAACATGCAGTCATGCTGTCAAAGGGAACGCCTACGGATGTGTGTTTGTTTCTATACTGGAGACATTATCAGGAATTAAGTTACACTTTAAGTTTAGTGAATTCATTTTTGCAACAAACGCCGAAAGTTGTCTTTTCCTTAAATTGGAGAAATTAGCTGGTTTTGTCATCCTCTACTAGTGATCCTAATGCTTTTTAAAGGTGCATCACTTTATATGCCTTTACAAAAAAAGACCCAAAACATTAGATCATGATAAAATACTGGTTATATACACCAAATGTTGAATTTGATTTGCTTTTTAAATCTCTAAAATGTGAAGTGACCAAGCATCATCAAAACTTCTGAAAAATCTGTTTTTATTTTCATAAAATGATGCCTTTATGGAGTACAGATGCACGATATGGTGTTGTGCGTCCAGTCCCCTGACCTCTGCGACGCTGATCCATTTCTCCAGTAGCCGGGCTCTCTGTTGGGTGCGCAGGTGCGTCGGGCAAAGGCAGGACGCCAACACCGCATTGGCCAGCTTATTGAACTGCCGTATAGTGGCCCGGACAGACCAGCAAACCCCCTCCCTGCCCTTCTTGTCTCTCTGAGACCACAGCGAGCCAAGACAGTGGTACGGCACAAGACGAACAAAGAGTTCCTGAAATACCCGGAAATATGACTCCATTATTTGTAATAAAAATGAAAAGGTTTGTTTTAAAATAGGCTGCTTTGCTGGTCATTGTGTTCTACTGAAAAATAAATCTAACTCACAGTTTCTATCTTTGTGAGCTGCTCTGCAATAAGAGCTGCTGGGAATCCCAGGACGCTGTGAGCTTCAATCTTGGAAGGATCAGGTGGAGAGCTGCTAGAACTGGTTTGATCTGCAGAGAAAAACACAACTGGCTGATTTCATCAGATAACTCAAAGTCTGCTGAAGAGATTGATCATTTTTTATGGGTATTTAAGAGAACAAGTATATTTGGGTTCTGACTGTAGGAGGTTACTGTTGGTCTATTAAGATATTTTCATAATCTGAAAAAAAATACTGCACATTTCCTGTAGTTCAGTTTCAAAGTTTTAGCATCATTTGGGTCATTTTATGCATGTTTGTTTTTACTATAAAAGAAGAAAAGCTGAAATCACAGAAACATAAAGCAGACGATGCAAACACAAAACCCAGGATTCGATTCATGAAGCAGGCCTACCAAAAACTCCAAGTTGTCTAAACCTGAAAATAGGGAAACTCTGGTTTTCTGTTTCACACAGAGTTTCCTCAACTTCTGGCCGTTTCTCAATGTGTGCACTTGTGCGTTCTCATGTGCTCGTGTACTTATGAAATGATTTGTGTTTATCTGATTGTGTTAATTATTATTCCCCCACTAAATGAAAAAATGTAGAATTTATTATTATCTAGAGACTATTAATAAGAGGAGGAGAAATGCAACTTCAGACGAGCTGATTTGTGGTAAAGTCCAGACTTTTCTTTGTGCTTCTCGAGAACATACTTGGCGAGGACACAAGTCCGTACTAACCTGACTCCGCCAGATGGATTTGCTGGATTTGCTCCGCATATCCATCTGGAAACCTTCCGTTGAAGTAATTTTGGGAAGGGGCGAAAATACTGGTTAGCTGATTGGCCTATGTTGGTGATAGACGGGCCAAATAAACCAATCAGATCAACGAAACATAGGACGTACTAACAGAGCGACGACGAAAACACAACCACAAGCCAGGCTACTCTTGCTGAAACCAGTCGGGAGAAGAGCAAAAACATCTTTTCCTCTGAGAAAAGCCTCCAGAGCAGTGTTTTGCTCTTCTTTCAGTGAAGAAATACTCTGTAATTCCGATAAAACTTGCTCGATAGCCACGATAACGCTAGTTTCATCGGCTGAAGCCGCCATGTTCTTTAGACTGAACTGTCGCGCTTCTTGTTGCGTCACACCTCAACCCGCCTCAAAGCCAACGCTGATTGGACGTTCGTTTGGTGAACGGCTCCAAATTTTCTTTAACGGAAAGTAGCCAGACTGATCTGCGAGTGAAACCTTGAAAGCTCGCGAGATCAGGATGGTCTCACGAGGTTAAGTCCGTGAGACCATCTAGTGAATTGAGAAACAGCCTAATTTTCTTCAGTAAACTCGGAGTGTCCTCTCTCTCTCTCCACTCTCCTTACAGCCAATCACGTTGCTTTATGTCCCGATTAGTTGTATTTTTGTTGTAGTTTTGTGCATAAAAAAACAGTCAGAGTTCCCAACCCAAGGCTAGATCAATTTAGAGTTGCGGATTTGAATCTGAATTTGTTAAACCTGCTTCGTGAAACGGACCCCTGCTGGCTTCCTTCCATGTTGCTCTCCATTGTTTACTTTCTAGATTTCTGTTGCAATGGTGACATCATCAAAGCCAACCCAGCATAATGGTGTCACCAAACACGCAGCTGCAGGGGGGCAGTCACGCATCTCGCTATCGACGGGTTAGACCAGCTTTTTTTTATTCCAGTGGGAAGGGAGCCAAATGCCAACTGTTAGCGGGTCAACCCATGTTTGAAAAACACGCGTTAACCTGGTATTTTCAAGTAAGCTCCAGGTGCCATCTAAAGATCTCACCCACATAGCTTTGAGTTTTGAATGCTCTCCTATAATAAGAAGACTGAACAGTCAAGTTAATGGTGCATTGAAAAAAAAAGTGGATTTGAACATTGAGTTGAATGACATTGTTGACAAACATACTTTCTCTATGCTCATGCTCTAAAGCAGGCATCCCCAACCTCGGTCCTCGAGGCCCGCTGTCCTGCAAATTTTCGATGTTTCCTTGCTTTAGCACAGCTGATTTTAATTAAAAGCCGATTAACTGGCTTTTGGTCTACTGCAATTATAATCAGCTGTGCTAAAGCAAGGAAACATCGAAAATTTGCAGGACAGCGGGCCTCGAGGACCGAGGTTGGGGATGCCTAAAGCACATGTGACGATGATGATGTTGAATATGCAGTGTTCTGCTGTGTCAGGGCGGGATACCTTATTTTTACTATGCCATCAATGTCCTACTTTTACAGAAAGACATCATGTGATGCTATAGTTGGATCATTCCTGCTGTGTTCTACATGCATTTGTGTCGATTGTAGCTTAGAGGTAAGGTAAGAGAGCAGAGTTTATCATTCTCCAAAAACCTGTTGCAGACTGGCAGTCAATAATGCCAGTAATGTAATGCCAGAGTGTTATTTTCCTGTAGCAGTTCGATCAGGCAACATGCTGGGGAGGTGCATAGTTAGCTTAACAGATGTCAACAATCAATCCTGTCGATGTGCAATCAAACTAAAGCACCAGCTGGACTTGAGACCAGGCAGGTGCAACATGAACACTTTACTAAAGGGCTGCAGAAACACTGCTTAGCAAGTGCCAAAATAATCCCTGTCAGCAAGATTATATATGCAAATTAAAGAGAGATAAATAAGGCTTTTGCTTCTGCCTATTCCTTTGGGAATCTTAGATTTTTTTGATTTTTTTTTATCTATTTGCCAAAGTGTAAAAGAAAAAATCTATGACTCAAACAAATAAACTGGGCCCTCCTTTAACCTCCATGTGGTGAAGAGGTTTCAGTGCCTGGATGATCCCAGAGGCTATGCTGTCTTGGTTAGGGTAAACAGGCTCTGGGTGAAGAGTCAGACATAGAGCTGTTCTAAAAGCCCTTATGACGAAAAAAACTGAGGCATATGGTACGTTGGAGCAGGGAAATCACCATGAGGCTGGGCCTTGGGTTGGGGTCCACAGGCTGACTGCGGGATCAAACTTCTCAGCCTCCCCTGTGGCGCCAATGCCAGGGTGGTGGATAGGAGAGTCCGGCTGATGGACGGGACGAGCAGTGTGGTTTTCGTTCCAGTCATGGAACAGTTCTTGCCTCCACACGGTTCTTGAGGGTTCATGGGAGTTTTGATAAACCTGGAGAGGGCCGTCGACCCTGTCCTTCGCGGTGCCTTGTGGGGGGTGCTCCAGGAGTCAGGGACAAGTGGTTGCCAGCATTGACGACATTAAGATCGACCTTTTTCTGGTGCATGTTGGATGATCCAGGCCTGCTTTATGTCACCAGTCCTGTTCATAACCTTTATGGACAGGGTTTCTAGGCATCCCTCTTTTCTTAGCCTCTGTATTTTTCAGATAACATGGTTTAGGTGGCTTTCTCCTGCCAAAACCTACAGCATGCACTGGGAAGGTTTGCAGTGTCAAGTGGCTGGGATGAGAATCAGCAAATCTGTGGTCGTGATTATTGTCAAAGATAAATAATTTTTGATTGTTTGATAAGTTGGAGTTGGAGCATCTTGGGGTCCTTATTGTTTGCTTTATTTCTTTATTTCTCAGAGTATATCTTTAAGGTAAAAGTGAGGCTCTTTCTGAAACTGCAAAGCTTTCCCTGAGGGAGCAGAAAACCCTTTAGCACCCATAATTTTGGTCCAGCAAATAACAGATCTTAGATAAAAGTCAGCAAAAACTGACAAAAGCACTATGCTTCAAAACGCAGGAATATACAAAAAAAAAATCACCTTATTTAAGTATATGGGAAGAGTTATCTAAAAATCTCCCCACAGCTTTTACCTTTCGATCACAGCTGTTTGAATATAACACGGTTATTTATGATTTTTTACATTTATCACTTAAAAAAAAACTTTTAATTTTAGTACCGGTTACTACACAAACCTCTGTGTTTGTCAGGGAGCAGAGCTTTCTCGCTGAGCTCCTCGGCCGTCCTGAGCAGGCGAGCTCGAAGGTCAGCAGCAGACGAGGAGTCCTGAGGAAGGAGAGGAGCCAGACGCAACAGGCGAGAGGGATCGCTGAGGTTCTTAAAGTCTTCAGGATACTCCGAAAGCCACGTGCTGAACACAGTACACACTGCTCTGCAAACACAGGAAAAGGAGAAAGAGAAGAAAGCTAAAGTCATGCGTTCTAATTGCTTTAACTAAAATCTACAGTAAAGAAGAGGTGAGACACATTAGAGCAGGGTTTCCTAAACCTGGTCCTCAGAGCCCACGGTCCAACATGTTTTAGGTGTTTCCCTGCTTCCACTCACTTGACCTGAACGAAAAGGTGATTAACAGCCTTTTGCAGCATTTGATGGAGATAATACAATCATTTGGATCAGGTATGCTTGTAGGGAAATATATGAGACTGTTTTAAAACATCATTTTTAATCAGTTTTGTGTAAATTTTTGGCCATTCTTGAATTTCTTTTGCATCAAAATGCCCTAATAATAGGAGAATAGAAGACAGGAGCTAAAAATACTGCCGCTTAAAGAATAGTTGTTCTACAACTGGGCACCTTTAAAATGGGGATCCCGTTGGATGTCTGGGGTTTTAGGTCCCCCGGCGCTTGCCTCAGTGCTCTGAGGGGCGCGTCTTAGGCTCTTCACAACCACTATTGAGCATTTTCCCTTTGTAAAAAACTTTACACGCACAAGTGCACTCTCACAAACAACTACAGGTGCTTGGCTCCAGGTACTTAGAGATTCACTACAGAAACCCATATTCTTATATTCAGGTAACACAGTATACATGTCAGAATAAATAATACTAGTTATACCTCATTGATAGTATCAAATGCTACTTTATTGTATCTCTTATACTATATCCGTTGGTTGCGCTGTTCTTTTAACATCTTTGAAGGTGATTCTTTTTTCATTTCCTGTTCTACTTACATTGCAGTGTCCATATAATCTGTAAAACTCCCTGCATGAATTATAATAAAGCAATTTATATGCATAAATAAAGCGGAACACTATGGCGTTAGCCGTACTGCTCCACTAGTGAAAGTAAAACCTGTTGGGCTCTTTTTGGCATCAAGACAATTATTGTTACTGCCATATTGCCAGACAGGACAAAGAAAAATAAATAAATAAATAAACTGGTTCTTGTTCAAAAAAAGATATTAAAACAGAAAACCCACAGGCTGATAAAAATATAATTCCTTCATGAACAGAAGCAATAAGCAGAATTGTTGGCAGAACATGGCTTCTCGCTTCTATGTATCAGACGTAAAGTGTTTTTTTTTTTTTTAAAGCTTACTTGTTGAAGGATTGTCTCGTCTGACTTCTTTCGTTGTCTCCAGGGGGGTGCTCTAACCTGTGAAAGAGAAAAAAGAAGGTTAATGCAGCCAAAATTTTAATATGAAATCTTTCAGTACCTACAAATTGAGCTCAGAAATTATATATTTATATATATCTTTTTAAACAGGTGGATACTGTGGTGTGTTTAAACACCATTCACACTTAATTAAAACTGCACCATGCTGTTAATGATTTCCACATTTTAAATCACAGTACAGCAGGAAAATTAGGAAGCTAATGACCGATTAAATTTTTGAATTTTGGCTTATAACTGCACAGCATCATTGAGCACCTTTTTTTACTAATAAAATACTTCCCACAAATAAAACTAGCTTTAAACATCAGAGTTTTCGGTACCTCAGAGGTCAGTTTAAGTGTTACTGTGGACGTGAAAACAACATAACTTTTAACCATCTGTTTCTAAAGAACTGAAATAGGCTTTTGTACGATACAACTTAGCTTCCCAGCTTCAAGTAGTCAAAATAATACAATTTGCCCAAAATGTGTTTTTTACCTTTGACCGTGAGCTGATCAAGCCAAGGCTCAGGAATGTCAAAGTATTTTATTTAATCGCCGTTTTCCCCTGCTTCCAACTCACCACTAAATGTGACACCAGAGCGTCTTTTTAATAGCAACATAACATTTTATATTTAACCTGCAGCTTAAGGAAATCAAAACACTATAAATGGCCTGTTTGTGCAATTTGGAGGTGTGGGTGCTTCTGCTCTGATTTGAGCCGTGTTCCAGAAGGAATGCTCGTTATACTGATCGCTGACAGTTCACTGTTCTTTGATTTTCCTCAGCCGTTTGGTCAGATCCAATTTTATTGCACAGAGCTACTAGGATACTTTATAGAGTGCATTAGCATTTGGTTAGTATTGGCCTACTTTTAAAAATAGGCCTAATATAGGCAAAGCAGGAGCATACATCGCAAGTGCTGTGGATAGACACTCGCTATTGCAACAATGCTTATCATCTACCTGTCAATGAGGATGTCCAGGACTCTCTCTGTGGAGGTGAAGGATCGATAGGTGGAGAAAAAGATGGAGATGAAGGAGGAATCCCCCAAAGCAAACGAGTGGAGGAGGTGTAGCACCAGCTTCTCTTCTGTTCCAGCCTTTATGCACTGGGAACGGGAAACGGTTGGCTGGGAACCCACAGGAAAACAACTGAAAATGCCTGCTGGGTCTTCTGCGATGGTGAATGATAAAAAGTCACTTACCAGTGGGCTGTTGGGGGCAACATGCTGCTGCTTGACCACAACAGTGTAGGTGACCCCTTCCTCCTCCTCCTCCTCCACGGTGGACTGTAAAGGAGGGAAAGTGTGAGCACAGCAGCTCATAGTGCGACACACAAAAGTTTCCACATTTATTCCACGCAGTTGGACCCTGTTCTGATCCTTTTAAACTTATCTGACCAATAAATCAGGCTGCAGCCTGAAGGTCTTTGGCCTCTTTTTCAGATAATAAAGGGAGGGGATTTTTGAACAGTACTGCGTGTCCAGTTTAGCTTCATGTGTTGGAAATAAACACCCTGCTCTGTCTCCTCTAGACAACCCCCCACCAACCCCAACCCGCCCACTAAACAACTAATTTCCTACATGGAGCTCCAACAATCCCTTTTTAGCCTCGGGGGAAGTCCCTGACACAGTTACCCTGGTTTGCCTTCCCTCTGACTCCCAGATCCTGCAGCGTGAGATCCGGTCATTCTTACCAAATCCAGAGGACAGTACCAGGTGGTCTTCATCGGTGAGGACTCCGCCTGAGAAGCACAGAACAAACAGGATTATTCAGCTGAGAATCTTAATGCCATCATGTTGTAGTTATCATGAGGTTTTATATTTTTGGGTTTTGGATTGGTAGCATCCAGAAAGAAATACAGAAAAAATGCATATTTTTTATTGTTTTCACAAATATATTTGTACACACAAAATATATATACAAAACATGCACATATATCCTCTGCAAAAAACAGACCTTTTCTACATTATTCCAATTTAAGCCTAGATCATTTTCCATCAAAGTCTGCAGGCTCTTCAGGTGCTTTAGGCTACAGTCCACCTTATTATCAGCATGTTCATTTGGACACGCATGGACTCCTTTGTCAACATCTCTGGTTACTTTCTCAAAGAGCTAACATTTTATAAAGCTAACAATTCACAGAAAAAAGAAAGCTACTCTAGAGTAATGTGTCTTATATTTCACCAATTCAGCATGAGCATTAAAAATGATAATATTTGACATTTGCTAGGTTATATAAAGTCTGCTTTAAGTGGGGTTATGTATAAAATCGGATTTTGCTATATTTGATAAATTCATCCATCTGAAATCTTCAAGAGGAAGTAAATGGAAAAAATAAACATAATGGCATAGATATGGGACCCCAAGTTAAACAAAGGTTTTAAAAAGATCTTAATTTTTTTTTTTAATAGAGGAAAACAATAATTTATCATAGAGTTTTTCAGATTCAAAGTCAATTTCATTTTTTAAAGTCGTAAATGGTGCCCGACTTTACACAAGTGAATAAAGTGAATGTGATTGGTGGATTATCAAGGGGGCGGGACTGTTGTCGCAGAAGGTTCGCAAGCACGTTTGGTTGTGGCCGGTTTGTCGGAAGCATCTTGCTAACCAGTTAGCATCTTAGTGCTAGTAGGTTCCCAATGGGAAATTCCATTGGGACCAAGTAGCACTAAATTGGTGACTTAGAAACGACGCTGTCAAGGAACGCTATGGACAGCGGACACATGCAAGAGGAGGAGAGTTTAGTGTCGGAGGTCGTGGATGAGTCTCCTCCGTCATCCATTTTTTATTTAGAGGAGGAAAGCGGGGACGAAGATGTTGTGGAAGAGGACGCCAGGGCGGCAGAAGCTTGGTTTGGTGTAGAAGGCTTCCAGCCGTACATGTTTGAGCCCCAGTTCTGTTAGCTCTACGCCTGCCGAAGACGCAGACGTCCATCCCCGTGAACACTGGGACGGAACTCAATGGGAAAGGAAATAATTCTGATTTCAACCGTTGCGTATATTAGCTGCAACATATGAATCAAGATGCTATCACCGAAAAGACAGTATTTTTTTTTATTAGAATTTTTTTTAATTTTGGGACAATATCGTCTGATAGAGTGAACATTTATATACATGTTTAAGCCAGAATTATTTGACATTTAAATATGATTTCCCTACGACTTTAAATCCCAGAGAAAGTCTCTGTGGCACTTTAAAACATGGACTGTTTATGGCTGTTTTAAAAAAACAAAACAATTTTCCATATCAAAATTTTCTCTAATGTTATTCCCTGAAGATTGATTCAAAGAACCAAACCTGATAAAAAAAATGCATTTTTACTGTCCTAAAAGTTACCCATAACTACCACTACATATGCTATATAATAATACACCCTAAGAAATAAAATGGTGATGCTCCTTGCTTTATGTAGCCTAACTGTTTTATGTTCAGATTACAACCAAAAATCCCAAGTAGTCATACCAATATTAATCTACGAAGATTAGCGAGTCAGAAGGTATTATGAAATTAATTAAGATATTTATTCTGTATATATATGGAAGTGTATACATCAAAATTACAATAAAAAATATACTTTAAGCTTGAGTTTTAATGCATTTTAATTCTTTTTACTTATGCTTGAGAAATGCCTTAATAAAATATCACTACTACTTAATCCATGGTGAATAACTTCACTAAAAAAAAGAAAAAGTTTAAAAGAAAAAGTGCTTCAGACAAAGAAAAGTATGTTTTTTTGCACACAAGCTTAATCGAACCAACCTTTGGAGGTAAATATCATCAGTGGAGGCACTGGTTTTATAAATTTTACGTAAAAAGAAAACAGGTTTGGAAAAAGTGTTTCTTCTGCCTGGAATTATTATTATTAAGTTATTATTGGCTTTAAAACACCAGAATTTGCACATAACTTTACATTTCGGTTTGAATTTATCACCAAATTTTAAATTGTAAATCAGATGTTCTGATGAGTAACTTTTTTACCTTTTTATGTTCACTTTAAGTTGTGTTACTACGTAGTGTTGCTTTACCACCTCTGATCAGAACCAATTTATGATTTATTAATGTGATGCTGCGATATAAATGTGTTTATTTAGACCTACACTTCTACCGATACATTATCCCAATAAAGAAAAAAAAAACAAAAGAAAAAGACTTGAATTCTTTCATAATTCTGTTTATGCTGAAGAGGAGTTTGTGTTTAATAAAAATCCTTAATCAATCCTTCCAGTCAATGAAGACATATTTGCCCCGGGCTTAAGATTCACAACGATAAAATTGTATTTCTTGTTGCAGCAAACCAAGTATTTAAACACCTAAAACATTACCCAACATTTGCTACAACATACTGCAGGCCTTTCTTATCATTCCAGTCCAGTATGATCAATACACAGAAAGTTTGCTGTGCAGCACTAAGACTCTCTTCTTATCACACTTAAGCATACGGGCTCTTGGGTTGCAGGATCCTGCAGTCCAACTCAGGTTGCACAAGTGAGTCACATCTATCTTATAGAGAAAAGAAGTTTGATACCTCCAGAGAAATTTGAATACTGCTGAAACAGATAAAAAGGCAGATGACCTATGACTTAACTAAAGCTGCAGGAGCTTTGCTTTATGGTACTTATCTGGAGGCCACAGAGAGAGGGTACGTCACAGATAAATAATGTTTTACTTAAGAAAAGCAACTTTGCTTAATCTTTTTAACCATATATGCTAAAAACCTCCAATTAAAAGGTATTTTTTTTACAAAAATATGTGTTCCTTTTATATCCTTTGGAAGAAGCAGCACCAGAATGTTATGAACTACAACAATAAAGAGGCAAAAAGCAGCTAAAGCGGCATTTATTCAACGTCTCTGCATCTAGAGTTTTATCTTATAGCTTGTATTTGGTGAGCACACATGCAGGACAGAAAATACTATTAATGTGAGAAAATGCATCTAAAAAAAAAAACATGGAGCTGAACAATGAGAACTTTTAGTTGCTTTTAAAACTTTTTTTCAGAACAAAACACTTAAATTTCTCAATCATACTTGGCTCATGATCTTCCTCTAATATGACGCTTTATCACCGTGCATTCATACCCTGCAAGAGTCACCCTTCCAAAGGTGTAATCTTCAGACCACTTCAGTGTGTCGGTGTGAGTCAACTGTTTTGATCACCATAACACGGTAAAACCTTAGAGACACAGCCTGATGAGAAAAGGCGGAATGCTGATTCGATTTTTATTTTTTTTTATTTTTACAGAGATCCAAAGGTAAGTTTAGGATTTTCAGACGTTCACTGCAGCAGAAGAGCCACACGGTTTAACCTAGATCAGGTTTGTGGGGTAATTATTCATAATAAACCAACTGAGCCGCTATTGGCCGCCCTCAGGTCACGTTCCCTGAACTTGAACCGTCAGAAGGTCAGGGCGGTATACAGATTCTCCAGACATCCATAAAGGAATCAAATCTGATCATCGAGCTCTCTGTTCCATCTCTGCTCCATTCCTCTAATCTACCATCTGTGTCTTTCCCATGAACTCGGCACAGAAACACACTGAAATCAAAAGAGAAAACTGTCCTAGCGTTACCTCTTCCCAGGCAAGTTCGGACAGGTAGCAATCCTTAATCTTTCTGCCGATCTTCAGGATAAAGCTGTGAACTCTATGTCCATTTTCTCCTTCTCTTTTCATCTGCACTCCCCTCTTTTCCAGGACTCCTCGGGCTACGACCCGATTTCTGTAGGTTTATCCCAGTACAGCGTGTCTCTGCACAACTGGAGGCTTTGTTACACACCTGAAGAAGGACCCAGGTCCGGCCCCCGGAAGGCGGCATCGTGTGGACACACCCATTGCACACAGACTCACTATCACTCACTTCCTCCACAGTCACACTAAGCCCATTCCTCCAACCGATAAAGCAGAGAGATTAGATTAATTTGCCTAAACAAATATAAAATGCGTACAAATAAAAAGTTTCCAACAAAACAATAAAATATTCACATAATTAAAAGCCTTCATCTTCGAACCCACACGGCGACACACAGAGCCAAACAAAGCCTGGAGCTTTTTCCAGAACAATGACCCCTCTCTTTCAATTCCCCCCCTCTTCCCTGCTCTGCTTCCCTTACGGATGACCTTCCCACGTAGATAAACCAGTTTGGCCGTGTATCCGCTTCAGTGCAGTGCAACATGTAGCAAAACAGCTGCCTCTAGCTTGCACTGAAAAAAAAAAAGGTGGTGCATCTACTTAATTCAAACATGGAGGTTGGTTAATCAGCTTTTTCTTTCTATTTTTTTATTGTTATTACACTGTTACAAGTACAAAGCAATCAAATTCACTCTCCGCATTTAATCCATCCCCTTTGAAGAGCAGTGGGCTGCCATTGTGCAGCACCTGGGGAGCAGTGTGGGGTTAAGGGCCTTGCTCAGGGACCCAGAGTGGCAGTCTGTGGGAGTGGGGCTCTAACTCAGAACCTCTGGATTCCAAGCTAAACGCCCTAACCACTAGGCCACACTCCCCAAACCTTATTTATATAATACTTATCTATCTGTCTTACCTACCTTTTGTAATTAATGCAGCTAGAAAGCAGCAACCAGGTTCAAAATCTGAGTGCAGTGATGGACTCAGACCTGAACCTTCAGAGGCTCACAAAGACAGGAACTTCAATCACCTGAAGAACATCTCCAGGATTAAAGGACTAATGTCTCAGCATGATGGTGAAAAATGGATTCCTGCTTCGTTCATCTTTAGTAGAATTCATCC